TTACAGAAGCAATAATAGGAAAGCAGTGGTTTTGAAAGAGAGACATGGAAAGAGAGGAGGAGGGAGAGAGAGGAGGAAAAGAGTACACTAGAAAGGCAAATATAACCGAGAGAAAGATAGAGAGGTAGAGAAAGAGCGTGACATAACATATCGATTAAAGTGCATGTTTTTCTCTTCATGTTCTTCTTTACCCCCAGTGGGCTTACTCCATGGGGCGGGTAACTGGGTGGGTAACTAGGTGGGTAACTAGGGCGGTAGCTAGGCAGCTGTGAGCTCACAGCCTCAGAGGAGGAAGTCTTAAAGAATATACTGATTACTGATTTATCGGTGGTGATAGTGTTTCCTAGCCTCAGTGCAGTGGGCAGCTGGGAGGAAGTGCTCTTATTCTCCATGGACTTTACAGTGTCCCAAAACTTTTTGGAGTTAGTGCTACAGGATGCAAATTTCTGTTTGAAAAAGTTAGCCTTTGCTTTCCTGACTGCTTGTGTATATTGGTTCCTAACTTCCCTGAAAAGTTGCATATCGCGGGGGCTATTTGATGCTAATGCTGTACGCCACAGGATGTTTTTGTGCTGGTCAAGGGCAGTCAAGTCTGAGGAGAACCAGGGGCTATATCGGTTCTTAGTTCTGTATTTTTTGAATGGGGCATGTTTATTTAAGATTGAGAGGAAATTACTTTTAAGGAACAACCAGGCATCCTCTACTGACGGAATGAGATCTATATCCATCCAGGATACCTGGGCCAGGTCAATTAGGAAGGCCTGCTCGCTAAAGTGTTTTAGGGAGCGTTTGACAGTGATGAGGGGTGGTCGTTTGACCGCGGGCCCGTTACGGACGCAGGCAATAAGGCAGTGATCGCTGAGATCCTGGTTGAAGACAGCGGAGGTGTATTTAGAGGGTATGTTAGTCAGGATGATATCTATGAGGGTACCCATGTTTACGGATTTAGGGTTGTACCTGGTAGGTTCGTTGATAATTTGCGTGAGGTTGAGGGCATCTAGTTTGGATTGTAGGATGGCTGGGGGATTAAGCATATCCCAATTTAGGTCACCAAGCAGTACGAACTCTGAGGATAAATGGGGGGCAATCAATTCACATATGGTGTCCAGGGCACAGCTGGGGGCTGAGGGGGGTCTGTAGCAAGCGGCAACAGTGAGAGACTTATTTCTGGAAAGGTGGATTTTTAGAAGTAGAAGCTCAAACTGTTTGGGCACAGACCTGGATAGTATGATAGAGCTCTGCAGGCTATCTCTACAGTAGATTGCAACTCCACCCCCTTTGGCAGTTCTATCTAGACGGAAAATGTTATAGTTGGGGATGGAAATTTCAGAATTTTTGGTGGCCTTCCTGAGCCAGGATTCAGACACTGCTAGAACGTCAGGGTTGGCGGAGTGTGCTAACGCAGTGAATAACTCAAACTTAGGAAGTAGACTTCTGATATTTATGTGCAAGAAACCAAGACCTTTGCGATTACAGAAGTCAGCAAATGATAGCGCCTGGGGAGTAGGAGTGATACTGAGGGCTGCAGGGCCTGGGTTAGCCTCTACATCACCAGAGGAACAGAGGAGGACTAGAATAAGGATACGGCTAAAGGCTTTAAGAACTGGTCTTCTAGTGCGTTGGGTACATAGAATAAAGCGGGCAGATTTCCAGGTGTTATAGAAAAGATTCAGGGCATTATGTACAGACAAGGATATGGAAGGATATGAGTAAAGTGGAGGTAAACCTAAGCGTTGGGTAACAATGAAAGAGATAGCATCGCTGGAGGCATCAATTGAGTCGGTCTCCGCGTGTATAGGGGGTGGGACAAAGGAGCTATCTGAGGCAGGTTTAGCTGGGCTGGGGGGTCTACAGTGAAATAGTACAATTAGAAATAACCGAAACAACAATAAGCTAACCATGTTTGGGCTGAGGCTAAACATAAACAGGATGTAGTACCGTAAAAAGGAACAGTCCAGCAGACATCAGCTGTATAGCTGAGTTATCATAAGGTCCGGTGAACAGCAATAGGATAGTTCGAGTAAGAGGCCACGGCTAGCGTGTGCTAGCGGGCCGGGGCTAGCAGATGGAATCTTCGTGGTTAACGTCGTAACCACATCAGACGATTTCGTCGGCAGACCAGTCGTGTAGGATCGGCGGGGCTCCGTGTCAACACTAGGTGGTCCCGTCCGGTTGACAGAGAGGTAGATAGCCGGGAGATGGGCCTAGCTCAGGATGATTAGCCAGACCACAGCGTCCATTCCGTTGCAGCTAGCTGGTAGCGATGAATCCGGAGTTAAAGGTCCAGTGATTCAGTGATTCCGGCGGAAAAACCGATATGTTCTGGGTCGACAACGCACTGTGCAGACTGGCCGAATATCCGGTGATTAATGTCCAGTGACCAAATCAATCCCGCAGAAAAAAAAAATCCAATGCTCTGGGTGAAATACCGCCAGCTGTGGCTAATAGCAAGTAGCCAGTCAGCTGGCTAGCTAGTTTCAACTGGAGACTCCAGATAAAGGTAAGTCAATAATAGAATCCGTTCCACATTGAGTGAGGCGGATTGCAGGAAAGTATATTTTGTAGAAGGATGAAAAGTCTGATAGGGAAATATGTACGAAAAATACAAAAAAACAGGGTATTTACAGGCTATTTACAGACACACGACAAAAACAGAACTGCACTACTACGCCATCTTGGATATGTGAGGCTAGGAAACACTATCACCACCGATAAATCTACAATAATCGAGAATTTCAACAAGCATTTTGCTACAGCTGGCCATGCTTTCCATCTGGCTACCACTACCCCGGCCACCAACTCTGCACCCTCTGCTGCAACTTGCCCATGCCCCCCCCGCTTCTCCTTCACACAAATTCAGACAGCTGATGTTTTGAAAGCGCTGCAAAATCTGGATCCCTACAAATCAGCTGGGCTAGACAATCTGGACCCTTTCTTTCTAAAACTAGCCGCCGAAATTGTCGCAACCCCTATTACTAGTCTGTTCAACCTCTCTTTCATAACGTCTGAGATCCCCAGAGATTGGAAAGCTGCCGCGGTCATCCCCCTCTTCAAAGGGGGTGACACTCTAGATCCAAACTGCTACAGACCTATATCCATCCTGCCCTGCCTTTCGAAAGTATTTGAAAGCCAAGTTAACAAACAGATCACCGACCATTTCGAATACCACCGTACCGCTATGCAATCCGGTTTCCGAGCTGGTCATGGGTGCACTTCAGCCACGCTCAAGGTCCTAAACGATATTATAACCGTGATTGATAATAGACAGTACTGTGCAGCCGTCTTCATCGACCTGGCCAAGGCTTTCGACTCTGTCAACCACCGCATTCTTATTGGCAGACTAAATAGCCTTGGTTTCTCAAATGACTGCCTCGCCTGGTTCACCAACTACTTCTCAGATAGAGTTCAGTGTGTCAAATCGGAGGGCCTGTTGTCTGGACCTATGGCAGTCTCTATGGGGGTGCCACAGGGTTCAATTCTTGGGCCGACACTTTTCTCCGTGTATATCAATGATGTCGCTCTTGCTGCTGGTGACTCTCAGATCCACCTCTACGCAGACGACACCATTTTGTATACATCTGGCCCTTCATTGGACACTGTGTTAACAAACCTCCAAACGAGCTTCAATGCCATACAACACTCCTTCAGTAGACTCCAACTGCTCTTAAACACTAGTAAAACTAAATGCATGCTTTTCAATCGAACGCTGCTGGCACCCGCCCACCCGACTAGAATCACCACTCTCGACGGGTCTGACCTAGAGTATGTGGACAACTACAAATACCTAGGTGTCTGGTTAGACTGTAAACTCAACTTCCAGACTCACATAAAGAATCTCCAATCCAAAGTTAAATCTAGAATCGGCTTCCTATTTCGCAACAAAGCCTCCTTCACTCATGCTGCCAAACATGCCCTCGTAAAACTGACTATCCTACCGATCCTTGACTTCGGCGATGTCATTTACAAAATAGCCTCCAACACTCTACTCAGCAAATTGGATGTAGTCTATCACAGTGCCATCCGTTTTGTCTCCAAAGCCCCATACACTACCCACCACTGTGACCTGTATGCTCTTGTTGGCTGGTCCTCACTACATGTTCGTCGTCAAACACACTGGCTCCAGGCCATCTATAAATCACTGCTAGGCAAATCCCCGCCTTATCTTAGCTCATTGGTCACCATAGCAGCACCCACCCGTAGTCTGCGCTCCAGCAGGTATATCTCACTGGTCATTCCTAAAGCCAACACCTCCTTTGGCCGCCATTCCTTCCAGTTCTCTGCTGCCAATGACTGGAACGAATTGCAAAAATCTCTGAAGCTGGAGACTCTTATCTCCCTCAATAACTTTAAGTATCAGTTGTCAGAGCACCTTACCGATCACTGCACCTGTACACAGCCCATCTGAAATTAGCCCACCCAACTACCTCATCCCTATATTGTTATTTATTTTGCTCTTTTGCACCCCAGTATCTCTATTTGCACATAATCTCTTGCACATCTAGCATTCCAGTGTTAATACTATTGTAATTATTTTGCACTATAGCCTATTTATTGCCTTACCTCCATAACTTGCTACATTTGCACACACTGTATATATATTTTCTGTTGTATTTTTGACTTTATGTTTTTTTACCCCATATGTAACTCTGTGTTGTTTTTATTGCACTGCTTTGCTTTATCTTGGCCATGTCACAGTTGTAAATGAGAACCTGTTCTCAACTGGCTTACCTGGTTAAATAAAGGTGAAATAAAAAAATAAATAAAAAAATACTCTAGTATCCCTGAGACCTGGCTCATATGTCCAACTGACATTTTCTGACAATAAAAGTTGTCTTTTACTGAGAACGAAGGGAAGCACGATAGATAGAAAAAATATTAGAATTAGGTTTAGTGAAAGGTGGGAAATTAGAATGATTCCACGTTTTAGAATTTATGTTTACAATTGCTGACATCACCTCTCTCCGCCTCCTCTCTAAAGCAGATTGGTGGACTGTTTCACCATGGCTTCACCAGGGGAGAAGGCTCTCCTCCTCCTCTTCCTAGTCCATGTAGTCTCAGGTAAGCAGCAACCCCCTTCCAATTTGCAACAGTGGATCATTCCTAAATTACAGTTAGATCCAAACAGGAAACAAGTGTAGCATACACACTTAACATGTTGACAATTTGTGGGCGTGTGCGCGTGCGTGTCCGTGCTTGTGCGTGTGCATGTGTCTGTGCATGCGATATGCCCCTCTCAGCCCTGCACCCAGATTTGATGTCTTCCATGATGCTCAACCCTGACCCCGTGACCCCAGGCTTCCCATCTCCACCCGCTCGCTTCCAAGACATGGCCAAGAAACTGGTAACCAATCAATCAAACAAACAACCAATCAAACAACCAGTCAATCAATCAACCAACCAATAAATCAATCAATAATCTATCATATGGCCTGCCTCACCTGACCAGGTGTGACCTCCCTCACCAGAGGTGTCTGTAAACTGTGGCCACCAAACACAGAACCATGTGACTGGAGGATCTATTTCACTGCTTTCACCTGAAGGACACTTGCTACTCCCTCCACCTTGTTCAAACACACACCTCTGGGAGCTGTTACTACAGTACTGATCAGTACACACACAGTTGGCCTATGTTCATGTTACAGTTACACCATCCCCACCTGTAGTTTAAGCCATATACAGACTCATTCACCAGCTATATGTATTGTGACACCCTAGAAGGCTGACTGGCGAGGCTGTCTCACACCTCACTGTAACGTGGTATTACATTATACATATAAAATCTATAAAAGTAACATTTCCGTAGTTCATTTTGGTGTCCCTCTGTCCCCACAGATGATGAGATGCCTGCAAATAGGTGAGGACACAGCACACACCTCCCCAACCTAGTAAACACAGAGGGTATTACTAATGTATCATTGTAATAATATTGCTTATGAACAACATGGTGGTAACAGCACAACACACTTGGTATATTGTTGCATACATTAAAACAGTTTGATGATGCTGATTAAATCATCTTAGTTTTCCAAGTCCCTGTGTGTTTCTTAATTCGTGGTTGCTATGTTACAGGACACCTGATACCCATGATGATGGACAACCCCTTTAATAACAGGTAAGGTGACCCTTGTGTGTGCAAATTAATGGATCTACAAGTTAACCCCCCCACCAGAACAGGAACCAGGACAGACACACAGACCAGAACAGAAACCAGGACAGACACACAGACCAGAACAGAAACTAGGACAGACACACAGACCAGAACAGGAACCAGGACAGACACACAGACCAGAACAGGAACCAGGACAGACACACAGTCCAGAAGGAGTACAGAAATGGCCTGCTAGACCACCACAGCCTGATATGACAAGTGAGAACCACCTCTGCAGAGGTAGAATATGTTACATTGTTCATTATTAGAATTAAACTAAATACTGATACAAATATGTTTAGTTGAGATTTTAGATGTTAGAACAACCTTTGATTTATCAAGCTCTTAGAAACAGTCTTGTTTTGTATCTTTGATTTATCAAGCTTTTAGAAACAGTCTTGTTTGGTACCTTATGACCCAAATACTAATGATCAATCTCTTCAAGTCAAACCGGAGAAAGAGAAAGATAGAGAGGAGGAGAGGGACCCAAGTAAAGAGGGGGAGAAGGGAAGGGAAAGAGGAGGAGAGGAGAAGGAGGAAAAACCATTGAAAGGTGGGAAACCTGAAGGAAAACAAATGGAAAGAAATGATGAGAAAATACAGCAAACAAGCTTGAAGAAGAGGAGGAGAGCAGGGAGGAAGGAGAGAAGGACCGAAGCAGAGTGAAGAAAGGAGGGAGGAAAGGAGGATGAGGATGAGGAAGAGGAGGAGAGGGATGAAAAGGGACATAGACGTGGGAAGTAGGGGTCCTGAGGGTGCTGCAGCACCCCGTGAAAAATCACCCCCAAACTACTTCCCTATGAAAAGGGAGAGAGTGAGTTGTGTCCAAAGGACAGTGGAGAGGTGTGTGTTTATTCGAGACACAACACCTGATCTGCGTGTGTGTGTCACACAGATCTTCACTCTGCAGTGTGTTTATATGTGTTACATCTGCATGTGTGTGTTCAAGTACCCATGCTATTTCATGTGTGTTCAAGTAATACTCGGCCCTGCCTGCGTGTGTGTATGTGTGCGTGCATGTGCGTGTGTCTGCTGAACACAACTCTGGTGACTACAACCACTGTTGTGACATCATGTGTGTGTTCAAGTACTACTCTGCCCTGTGTGTGTGTGTGTGTGTGTGTGTGTGTGTGTGTGTGTGTGTGACTGTGTGTGTGTGTGTGTGGGGGGGGGACTGTGAATGTGTGTGTGTGTGTGTGTGTGCCACCCTTCTCTCTCTCCAGTGATGCCCTGGCCCAGCCCCTGTCCTCCCAGTCTGGTGTGGCTGAAGATTGAGGTGATGAAGATGATGGGGCCCTTCCTCTCCGGGCTGCCCATGGATGACATCCAAACTATCCCCAACGACCAGGTCTGTGTGTGTTGTAGTTCTCCCCACTCTGCTTTTTCATGGATCACATCAAAACTCAAACAAATCACAGTCCACTATTTTACAACTGCTATTTTAATCTACCTCTCTCTTTCCCTAGTTGTGTCAATTCTTCCATTCACCCCAGTTCCCGTCCTCCTTCAGAGGTGTAGGGGGACTCCCTCCTCTCCAGGGCAGAAAGATACTGCAGAAGATCAGAGAATGTTCCCAGAAGAGAGAGGACTTGGTCCAAAACCTGGACAGGTGCGTACGTTCGTGCACGTATGAGAGAAAGAGAAGGAGTGGTGCATCTCCTGGACATCACAGGAGGCTGCTGAGGGGAGGACGGCTCATAATAATCGCTGGAATGGAGTGAATGGAATGGTATCAAACACATAGAAACCATGTGTTTGATGAGTTCAATTCCATTCCATTGATTCCGTTCCAGCCATTACTATGAGCCCGTCCTCCCCAATAAAGGTGCCACCAATCTCCAGTGCTGGACATGCAAATGACCCTTCATTTTGCCAATTATTCAGACCATCCTGAAGTTACATATTTACTTTACTAAACAAAATAGGTATCAACGGTTAGATTAGCATTTTTCCTGAATTAGCCAGAGCTACAGTACATCTACCTTGAGCATGAACGAGTGCTTAGTCACAGACATTTGACAAACAAACAAGGGAGGAGAGAAAATAACAGATGTTGGGTGACCAAACACGGTACTGAATAGCCAGTAGGGTATATTACTTAACTCTGACCTATGACCTCTGACCCTTTCCTATCCAGACTGGGCTCGCTGGCATGTTTCTATGACGACGCCCCAACCCTAAACTCCTCCATGAGCCAGCTCCTCCTCTCTCAGCTCGACGACTGTAGCAACTCTGGAATCGCCAAGGTATCCCCCCAGTCTCTCTCTCTCTCTCTCGCTCTCAATTCAATTTAAGGGCTTTATTGGCATGGGAAACATGTTAACATTGCCAAAGCAAGTGAAGTAGATAGTAAACAAAAGTGAAATAAACAATAAATATTAACAGTAAACATTACACTCAGAAGTTCCAAAAGAATAAAGACATTTCAAATGTCATATTATGTCTATATACAGTGTCGTAACAATGTGCAAATAGTTAAAGGAAAATAAATAAACACAAATATGGGTTGTATTTACAATGGTGTTTGTTCTTCACTGGTTGCCCTTTTCTTGTGGCAACAAGTCGCAAATCTTGCTGCTGTGATGGCACACTGTGGTTTTTCACCCAGTAGATAAGGGAATTTATCAAAATTGGGTTTGTTTTCGAATTTTTTGTGGATCTCTGTAATCAAATCAAATCAAATCAAATCAAATTTTATTGGTCACATGCGTCGAATACAACAGGTGCAGACATTACAGTGAAATGCTTACTTACAGCCCTTAACCAACAGTGCATTTATTTTAAACAAAAAAGTAAGAATAAAACAACAACAAAAAAGTGTTGAGAAAAAAAGAGCAGAAGTAAAAAATAAAGTGACAGTAGGGAGGCTATATATACAATAGAATAAAGTGACAGTAGGGAGGCTATATATACAGGGGGGTACCGTTGCATAGTCAATGTGCGGGGGCACCGGCTAGTTGAGGTAATATGTGCATGTGGGTAGAGTTAAAGTGACTATGCATAAATACTTAACAGAGTAGCAGCAGCGTAAAAGGGATGGGGTGGGGGGGCAGTGCAAATAGTCCGGGTAGCCATGATTAGCTGTTCAGGAGTCTTATGGCTTGGGGGTAGAAGCTGTTGAGAAGTCTTTTGGACCTAGACTTGGCACTCCGGTACCGCTTGCCGTGCGGTAGCAGAGAGAACAGTCTATGACTAGGGTGACTGGAGTCTTTGACAATTTTGAGGGCCTTCCTCTGACACCGCCTGGTATAGAGGTCCTGGATGGCAGGGAGCTTTGCCCCAGTGATGTACTGGGCCGTACGCACTACCCGGAGGGAAATATGTGTCTTTAATATGGTCATACATCTCTATCTCTCTCTCTCTCTCTCTCTCTCTCTCTCTCTCTCTCTCTCTCTTCTCTCTCTCTCTCTCTCTCTCTCTCTCTCTCTCTCTCTCTCTCTCTCTCTCTCTCTCTCTCTCTCTCTCTCTCTCTCTCCCTCTCACTCTTTCCAAAGTTGTTGTAGTTTATAGTTTATAAATCAGGAATCCCTAAAGTAGGGATTTTACAGAGAACAATTATGAGAATAATCTGTGGTGTTTATTTTTAACCCTCTTCTTTCTCCCCCATCTCTTCTCCCCTCCTCTTCCTCCCCCATCCTCCTCCGGCTTCCAGCTGAAGAAGAAGCTTGCCAACACTGTGATGTCATCATCTGTAGACGATTCCAGTCCTGAGCTGCTGCATGCGCTGGGTCCTGGTGTTATGGTGCTTTCCCCCTTCCGTCTCTCCCAGTTCTCCCCGGACGCCCTCAAGGACACCCTAATGTCACTGGGATCAGAGGTGAAGTGGGGTCTGACCCAGGCCAAAACACTGGCCAATAAACTACTGCAGGGGAAGCAGGTAAGAGAGCTGCCATGGCTATGCAGTCTTGCAGGTGTTACTCTTATCAATATCTCTGTGTGTCTCAATCAGTACTATTAACAGGCTTCTCAACTGGAATGTTTAGGTGGTCCTCTTCTATTGTATGAGGGGCCAAGTTAGGAACTAATGGTAAAATAGAGAGCAGCTCTAAAAACGATCCTTTCTGTATCTCCACTCTCCCTTCTTCTCTCTCTCTCTCTCTCTCTCTCTCTCTCTCTCTGACGGGCGTGGCCTCCTCTGTCCTCAGGAAGATCAAATCCCAGGGGCTTCTGGGTAATGAGGGTCTGGACATAATGACTCAAAAGATGACCAGGCTACAGAGAAAAGCACTGCTGGAGGGGGTAAGAGCAGGAGGGAGGGGTGAGAGGGGAAGGGAGGGGTGAGAGAGGGAGGGAGGGGTGAGAGAGGGAGGGAGGGGTGAGAGAGGGAGGGAGGGGTGAGAGAGGGAGGGAGGGAGGGAGGGGTGAGAGAGGGAGGGAGGGGTGAGAGAGGGAGGGAGGGGTGAGAGAGGGAGGGAGACGTCATAGAAGAAAATTAGATGTGTAGCAAAGATGGTTCAGGTTGATCCTAAAGTAATCCGTATGTCTGCGTGCTTGCTTGTGTGTGTGTGTGTGTGTGTGTGTGTGTGTGTGTGGCTGCGTGGGGATGTGAATGCCTCAGAGCTGATCCAGAAAGTCCCTGCCTCCCTGCTGTCCAGCCTATCCCTGACCACCCTGGACAAGGCTAACCTGACCTCCCTCAACCAACTGGAGGGCAAGCAGTGGACACGCGCACAGGTGTGTGTGTGTGTGTGTGTGTCTTCTGAACATAACTCTGGTGACTACAGCCACTGGTGTGACACACTGTCCTCTGTCTTGCAGTCGGCCTTTCTGGTCAGAAAGATCCTAGGCAAGAAGATGACACTTACAGGTGAGAACATACACACACACACAGTTTTTGATGGTGATGATGATGATGATGATGAGGATGATGAGGATGATGAGGATGATGATGATGAGGATGATGATGATGAGGATGATGATGATGGTGAGGAAGGCACTTAACCCTAGTTGCTCTGGATAAGCGCGTCTGCTAAATAACTCAAATGTAAATGTGCAAATGTAAATGATGATGATGATGATGATGATGATGACAGGAAGCTGGGATCAGCGATGCAGGGCGTGGCCTGTAAGATGATTGAAAAGGTGGCTGAAAGTGGCGTCATGGAGATGGCCCAAGCTGTAACAAAGACTCCACGCTGGCTCTCTAAGACACAGGTACACACACACACACACACACACGTTATGACTGCAATTCATATTATACTGTATGTAAATCTGTGACAACTGATATGTTACATATGTTAGGTTATGGAGTAGCGATCATTGAACATCATACGAATTAGAGGACGTATAGTATTATATGTCTTTCTCTGAGACCAGGTTGCTTGTTGCGTCATACCAACAAAGGAGAATTATGGGGAGAATTTATGTTGGTGGTTAGGTGAACTAACGACAAAAGTTAGGATAATTTGCGTAGCCAGTTAGGTGAAGTTTAGAATAAGGGTTAGCTAGAATGCTACAATTGTCCCCGACACGACACCTTTGGATTGTTAGATGGTCGCGGATTACGCCCACCCATCCTCTCCGACCAACCTCCCTAGATTAATTAATACGTCTTGGAGGTGCTCAGAAATACATACAAGTTTGTTTCATATAGCTCTGAGGCCATGCTGGTTATTACAGGCTTAGGGGGTATTTTTACATTGATTTTGAGACACTGTTTTATCTCCCTCCCTCTCACTCTCTCTTTGTCTGTCAGGTGTGCTGTACTGCACAGAGTCTGTTTGCAGGTTTGGAGAAAAAGAGAGCAGGCTACTTCAACAACATTACAGACACAGAGCTGGAGGAGATCCCCACACTGCTGCTGCTTCACCTGTGTTTCAGGGGTTTCACACTGACAGTGTATAGCCTATATATTTCATAATTTCCTGAAATTAAAAACATACATGAAATAAATATTTTCAATTGTAGGATAGTAAATTAAGAATCAATCAGCAGGTAATATCCATGGAAAATTGCCCTTTTGGGGGCACACTAACACACACAAGCACACACACGCAATCATACACACATACTCTTTTTCATTCTCTCTCTCTCTCTCTCTCTCAGGGCTGAGAAGATAGCCAGTCTGCCTGCCTCTGTATGTGCTGTGTTCATGAAGAAGATGAAAGAGGCCAACCTGAGTTCTTTGCCTCTCACCTCTCGCTCTCGCCCCACACTGATCAACAGAGCCCTGAGCTGCCTGGTAAACACACAACTCTAACTATAGCCCTAACCCTACAGATGTAGGATCTTAATTTGATCACACTTTTGTGGCTGAGGATTTTCCTGCACAGTAGGAAATGGAAACTTGTAGTGTATTCAAGGTTTAAAAAAGGCTTCTAGTTTGTAATTTCTACTTAAAAATGTCAGACTTGATTTACCGTAACAAAAAATGTATCAACCCCTACAAAAAAAAATCAATTGATTATAATCCACATAATAATTCACATTTCCTGTTCCTGAATTATTATTTTCTTACTGTAGCAGACTGGCTCAAATTAAGATCCTACATCTGTAGCTTCATGTCCACATCCCAGTTCAATCCTAACCCTAACTTCATGTCCACATCCCAGTTCAATCCGAACCCTAACTTCATGTCCACATTCCAGTTCATCCTTACCCTAACCCTAACTTCATGTACACATCCCAGTTCAATCCTAACCCTAACTTCATGTACACATCCCAGTTCAACCCTAACCCTAGCTTCATGTCCACATCCCAGTTCAACCCTAACCCTAACCCAACTTCATGTCCACATCCTGGTTCAACCTTAACCCTAGCCTCAACCCCAACCGTAACCCTAATCTTAGTGGAAATCACAAACACACACACACACACACACACACACACTGCAATGAGTTACAGAGCCCTGTGCACCCCTGTGTCCCCAGGGGAGGAACATGTCAGAGTTGTCCAGTGAGGAACATGTCAGGGTCGCTGCTGTGTGAGCTAGCCCCCTCTCAGATGCCCCTCCTGGCCCCTGAGGTCCTCAACTCCACGGTGCAGGCCCTGGCCTCCTGCACACAGATACCTCCACGCCACTGGAGGGCGCTCTTCCAGCTGCTCAATGATACATACAGGTACGAACAAGCACATCATCTCACCTTTCTAGATATAACTGCTACTGCCAAAAGAACATTTGACAAATATCAAATTATTATTGTTTCTTTCCTCTGAAAGTGACCCATCTGATTGGACAGCTGACACCATGAAATCCCTGGGTCCTCTCCTTCTGTTGGATGATTCTGCTGTCCGCTCACTGCGCTTTAAGGTCAGTGACTCTCTACCACCATGATCTCCCTGACAACCACAGATCAAAGGCTCTTGACTAGTCTCTCCCTGATGTTGTCTACGCTTGTGAAAAAAATTAAGCTTTCATAATCTGTCATGTTTCTGTGAATTTTTTAAAATGAAGATAATCTCTGCTCTTTTACTTTCTACCCTGGCCCCCCTCTAGTCATGGCTGAAAGAGACTCTGTCTGACCTGTTGGACAGCCTACCCAACTCCACAGAAGTTAGAAGAATCTCGAGTGCTGGGGTGAGCATCATCTTTTTTTGTTCCGCTGTTGAGTGTCTTTCTGAACTGTACTATATTGTACTACAGGCCTGGGGTCCAGTGTCAGGTCTGAATGAGAGCCAGGTGCTCCAGCTGGGCTGTGTCTCTCAGGGGTTCAACCTCACTGAGCTGCCCAGCCTCCCCTTCTCCTCACTGGACACACTTTCCCGCTGCTCCTGGACACAATAACAGGTACTGTATATATGCACTCTCACACACAAAATACTAGACTCTAATGATGATCATATCTGGTCCCTGGCAGAGGGAGGCTGTGTGGAGGGGTTTTGTGGAGCGTATTAATAAGACAGTGGGAGAACTGGGAGCTGGTGGGACTGAACCAGTTCATCTGTGGTATGAAAGCTGAGGAGACTGGTCAGCTCAACACTGACGCCTTCAGGTCAGACATGGACCGTGTGTGTGTGTGTGGGTGCGTGTTTTATAATGTGTTGTGTATCTCTATAGGGTGGCAGTACAGTCGGTGGGTCAGGTGCAGTGCCCCCTGGCAGTAACAGAGCTTCTGAAGCAGCGTGCCGTGGCTGTGTTTGGAGAACCACAGGGCTGGACCGAGGCTCAGGTCAACTCTCTGGGCAACATCATGGGTCAGATACACTCCTCGGTTCCCCTCTCTCTCGCTCTATTGCTCTCTCTTATTTTGTGAAATACATTTACAAATGTAAGCCATTTCTCATCCCTCCTCCCCCTCTCTCTTTTTCATCTCACTTTTCTCCAGCTGGTTTGAGTTTGTCAGAGTTTCCTTCTCTCAGTCCCTCTGCCCTCTCGTTCCTCAGTCCGACCAGCATTCCTCTCATCCCCCCAGACCGCCTCGCTGTGAGTACACTCTCTCCCTCCCTCTCTCTCTCTGCTGTGTTCCACTGAGGTTTTCTAATTACTAGGTGTAAGGGAAAAAATTGGTGACATTGGAACCCAGCGCTCCCATAACGCTGTATTCTCTTCTCATTTCTGATCAGGCACTCTCAACCAGCCAGCTGAAGGCCCTGGGTCCTGACAATGCTGCCATGGTAACTGCTGCACAGATGGTGGTACTGGGGGAGGCGCAACGGGCCGCTCTTGGCAACGCTCTGGGTGTGGCCTACGACCGTGCAGAACCGACTACAAACCCACCCAGCAACCTGCCTCAACGCTCAGGTGAGAGGAAGGGAGGGGACTGGGCGGGGAGAGATGATTTTTCCCAGTCATATGCTGGTATTTACAAATTTCCAAGATGTTATGAACACAGCAGGAGTGAGAGATGGAGATAGGGAGAGATAAAGGAATGCTCCCCAGTCAGGTAAGAGATAAAGAGTTGATTAGATTATGAGAGGAAGAAACAGAAATGAGGATGGATAGGCAGGAGAGAGAAGTCAAGTGGTGTAAAACATAGTGTAATGCCTTTTTTCCTCCACCAGGAGCATCTATGCTGGGAACTCTTGGAGTTGAAGTATTTATGCAACCCTTCTTGTTCCTACTGCTGGGGTTTGTCCTGTAGTGATAAACTACACATCCCTTAGGCACGCATGAATATCTATATGGAACTGCTCATGCGTGTGTCGAACAAGAATAGAGATTGTTGATACAATTTGCATATTTTAACAGTAACAAATATAACTTGTATTTCTGTCATAAGAGTATATCCAGCTTTTTTAAATTAAAAATACCTATTCTAGATTAAGCCAAAGCAGGCCTTGAGCACATCAAAGCAGATACAGATACCTGTGACAAAAATGTGAAAGCGCTTAAGATATTTTTATTCTATTTGTTAAAGAAATCTAATAAATATTTATCTTTCTATATCTTTGTCTCTATTGTAGGATAATGCTGGAACGTGATGTGTGAGTCGGTGTTCTGAGAGTTGGGATCATAAAATGAGGATTATGGGTGTTAACCGAGTGCTGACAAGATTGGAAATGGAAGACTGTAACTTAATAATAAAGATTATGAACCTACAGTCACTTACACTATGGATTGTTAGTTGTTTTTTTAAACGACTCACAGAAACTCAAATGAGACTCAGAATATAATAATCACTTTATTTATCTCTGGGTATTTTATTAGAAACGCTCTACGCAAGAAAGAAAACAACAGAAAATTGGGTTACAGGGGGAAAAGAGGGCTGTGCGTCAGCACTGTAATCTGGGAAGATTGAGAAGAAACTCTAGCTGGAGACACACACTCGCTTTATCAAAAGAGCAGAAGAGAGAACAGTTATCAACACCGCTGATTGGGTGACTAATCTTTAGGCAAATTTTTTTTTTTACAGTAATTAAACACGCCTTACATGGTTTTCTTTAGCATACAATCACTGTCCTCAACCCCTCACGCCTCTCCTCCTACACCAGAAGCTTCACTATCACGCCATCCATCTCTCTCCCCCCCTCCATTGCTCCCTTCCCCTCAGAGAGAGAAAGAGAGAATAGCTGTCTAGCTATCATGTACTCATATTTACATGGTTATGGTTCAGTTCTGGTGAAGTACAACCACACTTCAGTAATGGAAGGGTCCAACCCAACCCCTTCAGGTAATAGAGGGTCATCTTGAGATGGGATGTTTCCTGATTCATCTGGAATTCCTGATGTTACAAGGCCGGAACAACAGGAATACTCTGCCTGACGTCTCTGTGGAGCCAATCTCATCCCTGATCATACTATATGGTTAGACGGACGGGGATGAGAATGGAGAACATTCAAGAGACCAAGCCAATCCAGAGCTTACTCACAATGAAAAACAAATACCTGCACATACACAAACCCAGAAATCAAAGCCTATGAAAAAACTATAAGAAAATCGATGCAATAGTCAAAAAGAACTGGGACTGGCTCTACACAGAGAAGAGGCCAGTGGGGGCTGTCACCAATCCACTGTGAGATTCTGTGCTTGGATGAGCCATAGAAAACTGAAACATTCAAATCAATAAGCTAATCACATCTCCATGTTGTCTAGTCTCTTTCAACACCAGTCACATTCTCAGTTGATGACAGACAACAGAAACCTAACAGAACTCAACTGTAGACTGACTGGTGGTTACCATTTTGAAAAGTACACTTCTGAATGGAAGTGTTATTTGGTAATATAACCTGGAATAATGTGTTTTATAACTCATTTACAACCACAGGAGGTTGGTGGCACCTTAATTGGGGAGAATGGGCTCGTGGTAATGACTTCGGTGGAATGGTATGAAACACATTGTTTCCATGTGTTTGATGCCATTCCATTTGCTCTGTTCCAGCCATTATTATGAGCCGTTCTCCCCTCAGCAGCCTCCACTGTTTAAAACTCAGTAAGAATATGTTAATACTACCTCAGTCAGACAGGTACAGCACCTGAGGTACTGCGTCCTGAATCAGTCAGACACTGACACACACAGGTTCTGGCTGCCATATGAGAAATGTGCCAGAAATTTAAATAAGAAAAAATTAAATGAAAACAACAACAACTGTTATCACAATGTGCTTGTGTGTTGGATAAGTGATGACAGGAACACACTGCTGAAGAACGGTTTACAGTGAAGAGTTTTACTTTCCTTCCTAAACCTCCTCTCTCTTACTAAAATATCTGCAGTTTATGGTACTCTCTCACCCTCCTTTCCTCCAAAATATTCTCTCTTCTCTCTCCCCCCTCCTTCTCTACCTTCCCCTCCCTCACTATTTTTTTCTCTCAGACAGGTTTGTCTGTCTTGCGTGCGGTGATGAAGGCCATGCCGTGAGTCCTGAAGTGTGTGTTCAGATCCGACACCTTGTCAAAGCGTTTCCCACACACCTTACACCCCACCCTGCCCTCCCCATCCTCCCCCAGCGGCGTGGGGGGGTGAGACGAGGAAGAGGGAGATCCCGGCAGGGAACCCCCTCTGGGACTCCCGTCACCGTGGTTACCGCCGTTGCCGGGTGACGATGTCAGGGAGCGGTCATTATGGGCGTGGCGGCTGTGGTTGTCAGGGGGCGTGTCTCGGACCCGGTGGCTGATGAAGCGGTGGCGGGAGAGGGAGGGGGCGGAGGCAAAGCAGGCTCCACACTGCAGACACTGCAGGCTGACTCCTCCCCCCAGGGCCTCGGAGCGGTGCTGGGGGATGTGCTCCAGGAAGACGGCGCGGTCCTCGGTGGTGAAGCCACACGGAGCACAGTGGAACCCAGACTCTGGCTGGGGAGGGGGGGCCGAGGAGGTGACGCGAGGTCTCTTAGCGGGGATGATGCCCTCGGTCACATCCTCCTCTTCCTCCTCAGTCTTCACCCCTCCTCCTCCATCTTCCTCAGCTGAAACAGTGAACGGAGGGTTGGAGCCTCCGTCCTGCTCTGAGGAACTGTCTGCCCCCTCTGCACCCCTCCCTCGCTTCTGACAGACAGAGAGAATTAGAGTTAATGACATTTAGCATTAATAACCTGTCTTCCTATATAAAGGCTGCAATCGGTAGTTGTGAGAGAAAGTGGAACTATACCTTTGTGTCTAGAGCTGACATGCTGTGTCTCAGCTGGACATGTCTCTCCAACACCAGCCTACTGCTGAACGTCCTCTTCCCCTCAGTACACAACCTACACACACAAGCAGGTTAGGGTTTAGTGTAGGGGGTAGGGTGAGATAAAGATGTAATAGGGTAGTATAGGGGTTCATGTGAGGGTTGGGTATAGTATATAGGGGTTAGGGTGCAGTGTGCATACTCAATGGCAGTGGAAGGCTCGTTTGATGCCCTTGTGTTTGACTCTGATGTGGGGGGTAGGGTATAGTATGTAGGGGTTAGGGTGCAGTGTGCATACTCACTGGCAGTGGAAGGCTCGTTTGATGCCCTTGTGTTTGACTCTGATGTGGGGGGTAGGGTATAGTATGTAGGGGTTAGGGTGTAGTGTGCATACTCACCGGCAGTGGAAGGCTCGTTTGATGCCCTTGTGTTTGACTCTGATGTGGGGGGTAGGGTATAGTATGTAGGGGTTAGGGTGTAGTGTGCATACTCACCGGCAGTGGAAGGCTCGTTTGATGCCCTTGTGTTTGACTCTGATGTGGCGTCTGAGGCTGGACGTGGAGGAGAAGGAGCTCTCACACAGACTACACGGGAACTTCTTCAGGATCTACACAAAACACAGGCACCTTACAATGAACAGTCCCCTCAGCTCCCCTAGTTTAAAAACAGAAAGGCTACTAAAGACAATGATGCTTACTGAGAAAAACTGCTGAAAATCTGTTCTTCAAAGAAAAAAAAAAGAGGGGAAACTTTCCTGGATCCCTCCACTTCATGTGAGAGGTGACTGTGCTCCACAACTTTAGAGATAGATATGATATACGGCTTCAGAACCTATATGATCGGGTCCAATCCTAACTTGACAAACACCTGGGGAGCTCAAAGTTGAGTCTAAATAAACTCTGATCTTATTTGGAAGAACGTAAGTGAAGTATTAAGCATAACTTTTCTCAAGTGAGGACTGGGCCCGTGGCGATTAGGTGATTAGTTTAAGGGCCAGTTAGGGGTTAATTTTGGGCAGGACTGGGCCCGTGGGCAGGCAGTAGAGTAGGCCTGACCTAGAGGGTCAGAAGATACAATGGATCACTGATCAGTTAGAACCGATTCAGAATCAATCTACTGTACTGCACATCAAACAGTCTTTATGTGCAGTCTGTGTTCCTGACCTTGCCATGCTGCTCTGCCATATGGGTAATGTAGTCCTCTCTGTCAGCGTAGCGGGCGTGGCAGGGAGCACAGCTCCACCCTGGACTCGTCTTACTGCTCTCTCCATCCTTCTCTTCCTCCTCCTCCTCCTCCCTTCCCCACTCCTCCCCGTCAGAGCTCTCCGTCTTCGCCGAGCTCCGCACCCGAGGGAGAGGGGCAGGGGAGGGCGCCATGGCAACGGGAACTTCCTGTTTGACTGCGGGGCATCTGTGAGTAGTCTGAGCGAGGGAAGGGGGAGGAGAGGAGAGAAGAGAAAAGGAGAAAGGAACAGAGCAGATAGAGAGATGGAAGAGAGTTAAGCTACACATCAACAGAATATTTTATGAATGTAAAAAAACTGACTGACCCAAACCCAGTCTTGAGAAGGACTGTGTGAGAGGTGAACCCATAGATGTACCTTGATGTGCTCCAGCATGGAACTTCTCTGAGCGTAGAGCTTGGTGCACTCAGGACACTTGAACACGTGCACCTTCTGCTTGACTAGGTGGGTGTCAAAGTGGACGTACAGCAGTGGCTTCTGGGTAAATACTGTGTCACACATCACACACTTGTAGATCATCCTGTAAGGAAGAAAAGAAGGGTATAAAATCAGAGAACACAATCAGTGTGCGTGTGTGTGTGGTGTGTGTGTGCGCGTACTTGGCCTGTCCTCCAGTGAGTGTGGGGTGCTGGGTGTTGATGTGGCTCTGGGCGCTGGGGGAGGACTTGAAGGCCATGGGGCAGCTGGGACACTTATGGAACACCTCACAGTGAGCCGTCTGGATGTGGGACTTGACCGAGTTTAACCCTCCAAACACCACCTGACAACTAGAACACCTGCAGAAAGACAGACACAGAGAGAGAGAGAATTATAATTGTAAATGTTGTCCCTAAACACTGATTCAGGGTCAGATATTTCTTCATCCTCCTAATGGTTAAAGCATGGGTTGGTGGTAGGGCTGTTGCGGTGACCGTATTACCGACACACCAGCAGTCATGAGTCATGACCACAGTGAAATTCCATGTAACCGTTGAGTCACGGTAATCTCCTCTTATGAACTCTGGACATGTGTTAGTAGTACCCAACTCGCTAATGAACATCAGGTCGCCAATGGCCTGGTACTCAGGGCTCTACTGTCCCTCTAACCACTCTGACATCAATGCAAATGCAATCGAAAATCACATCAAACACTTATCATCAAAACAGTTGGCCTATCAGACTTTTAAAACTCACCTCACTGTGATGATCAATTTGAAGAAAGAAGTTCAACAGCAGGTTGAAACAGTGTAAAACATGGTTGTTGTGGATGTTGTTTCAAAGCCTAACACAACGAAATGGACAGCGCTTTCTAAGGTGATGATTCATTCAAAACATAAGCATATTACAGCTTATGCATGTACGTAGGCTTATGAACCCCCCTCCCCCAAAAAAACAGAATTAAAATGATGATTGTACCGTTATACAATTCATAGCCTACAGCATAATACTACGCACGGCAGAATAACAAAACTGATTTAAGATGTCTTTGGTACATAATTGATCTAGCCTATTCTCCAAAATTAAACAAATTTGAGTAAATCGCCTTTACGTGTGAGCTGTATTATTATGCATACTGGACTGGTTACCTTATGCTACGCTCCAACATGTCTATCCATGAGTCTGGGAGAGAACGTATAGCCCTAGGCGATGCTGTTGGTTCATTGATTGTGCAGGGCAGCTTACAGTTAGCCTACAATTAGTGAATTTGTATTTGATTTTGAATAGCCTAGTAATAGGGCATTTTTTATTAATTGGGTGACATTACCTTTAGCTATACAGAATATCTCACCACCATGCGTGTCCATCTCCTCCTCTCTCTCCTTTATTCCTTTCTCGAGCGCGCAGACGGGCTGTCAACAGTTTTGTGAAATATGTTTCGTTGCGAAAACATGTCACTATCAATGTTTCCAAACAGATTTCACTTGTTTTCCCAAATGAAGCACTGGGTAGCTGCAGGAACAGGGGTTGGAGAGCCCATGGCATACAGAGTTTGGGCGGAATATCACCTGCAGGGCAGCGAGAGCATGCTCCTCAAACAGTGGTTGATGCGTGGAGTGAAATGAGTGTTCTTATATTTATTTCTCAGCTGCTCATATTAAGCACATGCTCCGCTATAAAACAGAAGTAGCCAACAAAACGGACCTGAGGGTAAGTGCGTGGCATCCATTCGCTATTCCAGTGCATACAGATGACATGTATTTTCCCCTGCCCCTGTTCCTGCCCATTGATAATGGGACATTCTAAATCAAAACTAATTTTACATATTAGACAAGATTAAACTGAGAATCGTCTGAAGGGTGAAAATATGATCACTTGATGAGAGAACATCTGTGCAGCCTGAGGCAAGAAACAGAGCGCAAACTTGTTTTGCTACTTTCTCAAATCATCAATAGCCTATAGTCGCACCATGCAGCCCATTTATGCTTTGATTTCTAAGACATTTTTGTATCATTCACAACTAAAGTTGTCAAATAACTCCAAATCTAGCATATAGGACCTGTTTCAAATGTTCACTTTTATGCTCAACATAGCCACTTCATATACGCAAACACTCCGTTATGGGAAAAATATCCTAAGTTCAATTATATTATTCTTACTATATAATCATATAAAATAAAGTGATGACATAGCTTGTCAGCTAAATGCTAAATGAACAAGCCTACAGCCTGTGGCATGGAGGACAGCCAGATATGAGTTGGCCTACTGTAGGCCTATGTTATTTTGTTCTTCATATCATGTTTCTTTAGACCTGACTCAAATAAATTATGGACTTATTGTGATGGTACTTTTTTTAAATGTAGATGTTCCAAAAACGCTCATAGGCGGCTTGTATGCGTGGAGGCCTGGAGATGCTAAACATGTTTATGTTAATTAACGGTCAATTACCGTGAGCCCAGCAGACTTTTGCATGACAATAACCAGCTGACAAAATGTCATGACCGCCACAGCCCTAGTTGGTGGTAAGGTAATCTGATCCTAGATCAGTGTCTAGGGGAGTAACTAGGTTTGTTTCAATTACAGAGGGAGTGAGGGGTGAAAGGTCACCTGTATCCGATGCGTCGTGTGAAGTGGAGACAGGCCTCCTCCAGATGGGATTGGAAGGCTGGCTGCTTGGCCACACCCCCACACTCTGGGCAGACGTAGGGGGGGCGGGGGTTGTGGATGCGAGCGTGAGCAGAGGCACTGCAGCCGTTAGGAAGGAGCATGGGGGGAGAACACTCCGTACAGGACTGGAGGGAGAGAGGGAGACGGGGAAAGGAGGGACCACAGGTCAGTAAGGCAGGTACTCCTAAAGCCATGACAAGCTATTCATATAGTGTCTAGAATGTAAAAGATGTGGAAACACACACACTGCTCTACTCACAGTGTTAAGGGCTGGTTTGACCTCCTGAAAGTGGGCAGCCACCTCGGCCTTGCTGCAGAACTGCACCTTACACTCAGGACACTTGTTATTGGTGTACAGCACCGGCTCTGCCGCCTTCTTATTGGGGACTGGCTGCTGCAGCTGGGGGGCGGGGCTCAGGGTCGCAGGGGTCACTGCTGAAGTCACAGCCGGAGAAGACGACGCTAGGACAGAGGAGGTGGAGAGGGAGGGAGAGAGCATGCCTAAAGGAGGCATAGAGAGAGAGAGAGACGGGGAGATAGATAGGGGAAGGGGAGTGAAAGTTAAAGAGAGGTGGGTTAGACAGGCACTGTTAAACAGCGATGCACCCGTAGTCATAAAGCGTCTCAGAGTAGGAGATCTGATCTAGGATCAGGTCACCCCCCGTTCATATAATATGATTCATTATGATCTCAAAGTCAAATCTGATGCTAGATCAGCACTCCTACTCTGAGATGCTTTATGTATAGAGTCCTAGGTCAGATATGAAGGTAATAGCACACAGTCTCTCTCTCACCGATGGGAGTGGTGTCCTGTTGTCCTATCATCTGCTCCACAGTGACAGGTCTCATGACCAAGTGGGAACACTGCATGACCAGTCCCCTCTCCTTGTGTTCCCTGGCGTGGAGCAGCAGGCTGCACTTGTTGAAGAAGGCCAGCCGCTTGGCACAGTGGTTACAGGTCACCTCGATCCTCAGGGACCGCCGGTCGTAGTGGCGAGCCAGGCTGCGCTCCAGGGCAAACGCATCGCCACACTCCAGACAGCGGTAGCCCTGCGACGCAAAGAAGGAAGAACAACATGAATACAATACCTATGTTGATGACATGTCTCTCGATACAATGCGTATTCATTGGTGTTGTATGTATTGGCTGGTGCAATCAAATTTCCCCTTTGGGGATTAATAAGCGCCCTTGAGCGAGGCACTTAACCCTAATTTGCTCCAGGTGCGCCGCACTACTATGGCTGACCCTGTAAAACAACACATTTCACTGCACCTATCCGGTGTATGACCATAAAAAAACTACATAAACAAGAGCGATTTATTGGTCTACTGAACACAAGGTCTAACTGAAATTTGACTTCCGCTTTTAAGTGCTACTAGTGCAATACTGGATCCATGCTGATATAGACCCCTCAAAGTCATCTCTGGACCTTGAAAGCCGGTTCCACTGCGTTTTTTCATTGTTCGCCTCTAATGAGGGACTGATTTAGACCTGGGACATCAGGTGGGTGCAATTCATTATCAGGTAGAACAGAAAACCAGCCGGCTCCAGACCTCGTTGGGTAAGAGTTGAATACCCCTGATATAGACCTATGTCTGTTACCTGTGCAGGCAGAGGCAGGTCCCACTCCGGTGGTAGTGGTGTAGAGAGGTCTGGTCTGTAGCTGGGCAGCAGGTTCTTGCTGTTGAGGATCTTGTTGAAGGCCTCCACCAAACTGGACTGGCTCCTGGAGATGATGGCTCCTGTACTGTTCACTATGGAGGCCGGTCTACTGCCCCCCTGAGGGGGGAGGAGGGGGGAGGGGGACACAGACACACCCCCATTCAAGGTCTTCTGGCCCAGGCTGCGCACGCTGGCCCCCCCTGGGCTGAATCTGGGGGAGGAGGAAGAGGCAGAAGAGACAGAGGGGAGGGCTGCTGACTTGGTGATGCTGACAGCCGTAGCCGACACTTTGGGCTTGTTGCTGTCGGCGGCCATCTTGTTTTGGGCCTTGCTGGCGGCCATCAACATGGCGGTACTTGCGTCCTGGAGTGTAGACACAGGCAGGAGGCTGCCACCATTTGACTTCTGCTGCGGAGGCTGCTGAGATGCCACCCTCTTGGGCCGGCTGAGGACCTTACGACCACCTGGGGAGGGTTTGGAGCTGTCTGTGCCCTTTGAGGGGGTCCCCCCTGCCCCTTTAGATGCTACTCGCGTCACTGTCCTGGTGATGCTGCCTGTAGGGGTCTTGACCGTTTTGATTCGGACTTTGAGCGGGCGAACAGGGGCTGTTGGTGTCGTCATAGCGTTGGCCGGAGCCGTCTCCGTATCTCCTGTTTGTCTTCCATCCACAACCTCCATCTTCTCACTGTCCTCTGACCTGCTCGCCAGGGTAGGCTCACTCTCCATGGGCTCCTCTCCCTCTCTAGCCCCCTGTGGAGTTGAAGCTGAGGCTGGTGCAGGGCTGGAGCTCCTCTTGGGCACAGTGGACATAGCAGAACCTGTCTGGTCAGGCGGGGGACTCTCTGGTGAGTCCCTCTCCTCGATCACATGTTCCGGGTTTCTTTCCTCCATCACAGGGCTAGAGATGGGTCTGGGGTTACTGAGGGCGGCAGCCAGCCAGGACTGACTGGCCCGGGGCTGGGCAGGAGGAGGGGAGGGAGACCTGGGGGTGGAGGGTACTTCATCTGGAGGGGGGGGTTTAGAGTTGGAGGATGTCAGAGTGATGGAGGGAGGGGGTTTGGAGGAGAGAGGAGGGGGGCACGAGAGGAGAGGAGGGGAGGAGGGAGTTGGGGAGCTGAACAGCTCTGAAGTGGACACTTGGCGGTGTCTACGTGGAAATTTGGGAGGAGAGCACATGGGAGAATCTGGGCTCTCTTGGATCACTAGCGGGCTTCCTAAATCCGGTTCAGAGTCGTCCTCATCCGAGTCCATGATGCGCCTCATCCTTCCATTGGAGGGAGGGGGGGAGGAGAGATGCCTGGGAGGGCGCGGAGTGTCCTCACTCAGGATGGAGGGAGGAGAGAGGTGTGGGTTGACGGAGAGTGAAGATGACGATGAGGAGGAGGATGTGGAGGTTATAGGACCAGCAGAGGTGTGAGGGGAGGGGAGAGGTTTCAGTCTGTTGAGAATATTAACTGTATGTTTGGTTGTGCTGGCCGACCCCCCCGCACCCCCACTGCTGCCCCTTCCTTCACTCGCAGTGGAAGGGGAGCAGGTTGACCAGAGCTCCCTGTTGGCCTGGCCCATCCCCTGGCCTCTCACACTGGGCTCCAGCGTGGCTGTGGACCCCTCAAACCCATTCTGGAGGAGAGGTTCTGAGGAGACCAGACTAGGCATCCTAGGAGCCAGTCGTGAATTCAGCAGGCTCCCCTTGACTCCCATCCCAGTCTCCACCTCAGGGTCTGGGTCTGTCCCACTGCCCCCAGGGCTGTCTCCATCCTCTTCATCTGACCCCTCAGTATCCTCATAGGAGTCAGGCCTCACCCTGTTCTTAACAATCACACTGACCACTGGAGGCTCACTCTGGGGGTTGGGAGGGGAATCAGTGGGGCTGGAAGGTCTTGGCGAGGGACCCCCGGCCACAGACACGCTGCCCCCAGCCTTCCCTGACCCCTCCCCACCCTCTTCTGGCGCAGACTGGATGGCCTCTTTGGCATCGATGTCTGGAATGTCGAAGGCTGCCAACAAGTCATCGAAATCTGGGGTTTTCATGTCCCCCATTCCCGGATTACGAAACCTGCAGGACAGACACACAGGAGTGAGAAATAAACACTGTGTTGTCCCCAACCCAACTTAAGTCCCTGAGGCAGGACCGAATACTATGAATGATGATAAATCATGACAAACATAGATGTGACTTCCTGTTTTGAACGTGCATCATCATAATGTTGAATTGCAATGTTGAATAGCCTATATTTCAGGTAGCTATGTAAGTAAATTACTAGAACCCAATAAACCTCAAACCTGGCGAACTTATTGAATGAGTTAGCAGTTAGAAGCAACCACTGTATTTGGAAGTTAGGAACTTATTTGGAAGTTCAAGTTCCCCAACTGCCCTAGTGTGAACTGGCTACTGAGCTAGCAAGCTAGTACAGCAAAGACAGCTAGCAAGACCGATAGCTAGGCCTAGTTTTCAGACAGCATTTTTGTTGTTGTTGCACATGCTTTATGCAGTGCAGCTGTATTAGCTAGTTACCTATTCTCGCTGAGTTTGCGAGAACACAAAATGTGGATATTTTAGCGTTACTTTATTTGACAAAGTTCATTTAGCTATTTAGCTACCACACTGAACTGTCGACAATCTCGACACACATACACTAACTAGCTACGTTCCCTACTAGCATTGCGCTGAACAGCTAGCGTAGCTAACATCACTTAGCTAGCTAGAATTTACGTCGTCGTCAGCGCAAGGAAGTATTTAAACCTTACATTTGGAAATTATTCCAGGACATTCATATGAAGCAGTGGTTTATAATGGTATATCCGTGACAGGCAGAAATGTATATATAGTTTTAAATCTGTGAAGGAAATTTTGGTTTGTTTACCTCGCTCTTGGGTTCCCGACTTTCCTTTTTGACGCATGGGTTGTTCGTCACCAGAGACGACGGGGGAGATAGGTCCTGCCAGGTTCATAAAGTGGTCACCTTTGGACGCTAATGTGTATGCAATTTGCCAGCTGTCTTCCGCACATATGATGTACATACGTTTTACATTGTAATGCCTTGTTCTGGCGAGTGTTGGCAATCAATTCCTAAAAATGGTTGAGGACATTGTCATTTGACAGTGGTACAATCAAATAACCTTTATAGCACAATGTCCTCCAGAGCCAAGGGCATGCTTTTGTTGCATTTGTGGTCCTGCAGGGACTAAATTTAGACAATGTCTGTTTCACAAAGCATGGCTTTTCAGAAAGACCTACAGTTACACAGGGATAGTTTGCAATAAAATCAGTATTTATCTGACATTTTTATACTAAAGGTCAAGTCCATAGTAGTCAATCCCCTCCATGGAAGGAGTATGTGTACAGCATGTCAACATTGGCACAAAATTCCACAACCAGCCGAGGTGTTCTCTTGAATTATGTAAATGTATTTATTATTATCAGTACACAATGTACACTTACTGAATGTCCTTGGGTTGATATAAGATCCCAATTTAGTACAAATGTTGTTTTTTAAAGGCAACATTCATCATTAACCTTGACACAACAAAAGAAAAAAATCAGTCATTATTATCTATTATGTTTAGTGTGTAAATGTTCATTTCTTCTTCTCATCCTCTTTGTCTTTCTTGCTGTCAGGTTTGGATCCTGTCTGTGAGGCCAGGGAGCCCATGGCGTTACGGATGGCCTCGTTGTTGGGGTCGACACCCGGTAGGTTCTCCAGGACGCTCTGGAGGAACTCTGGGTCCTGCATCACATCATAGTCCTCCTCATCCTGCAGAGAGAGAGGAGGGAGGCAGGGCAGAGAGATTAACATATGCTAGAAACACAAGAGCCTTTGAGCATGTGTAACATCCGCAGTTTCATCTCAGTGGTGTGTGAGAGTTGGCCGTACCTTACCACCCTCCGAGTCCACGGGGGCTCCTGTGTCCATGTCCATCGACTCTGCTGTGTAGGACAGGACAGAGATGTTACGGACCGATTATGCCACGTTATAACTGGCTAAAACTGGCTATGTATGTCACTGACCTCCACCCTGCATGGACATCTGCAGGGCGTAGGCGATCTGCTCGTCCTCCGTCATGCGGCTGAAGTCAGGCATAGCGGGCGTGGCCGTGTCAGCCTGGGGGACTGACATCTTCAGCAGAGCATCGTCTGACTCTGGAGGGGGGAGGGGGGGTTAACAGTTCTATATATTTTTTACTGGCCCCCCGTGGGAATTGAACCCACAACCCTGGCGTTGCAAACGCCATGCTCAACCAACTGAGCTACATCCCTGCCGGCCATTCCCTCCCCTATCCTGGACGACGCTGGGCCAATTGTGCGCCGCCCCATGGGTCTCCCGGTCACGGCCAGCTACGACAGAGCCTGGATTCGAACCAGGATCTCTAGTGGCAGAGCTAGCACTGCAATACAGTGCCTTAGACCACTGCGCCACTCGGGATACAAGAGAGATAATGGTGTATGGGCATTGGTTGGTTGCCAGTTGTAGTGGAGTGATTTGTTTGTAGGTGGAGGGTTCTAGTTATGTGTACAGGGTGTAGATGGAGGGTTGTGTATCTGTCTCACCGTCAGCGGTAGGCGAGGGAACCCCGGCCTCAGCAGCAGACACCACTGCTGCCCTGCGAGTCTCATCCTCCTGCCTCTGTCTCTGCTCCTCCATAGACACCCTCAGAGCCTGGAGAAGGCACGGAGCGCAGAAAAAGTTCAAAGGAGGAAGATTGTAGCATACGATAAAAATCATCCCAAAAAAAGGCAATGAGAGAGAGAGAACACGAGAAAGCGTAAAAACAAGAGAGAGAGAATGATCAACCCATCTAGTCCTCCCCCTCTCACCAGTGCCAGCTCTGGGTCCGCGCTGGGGTCCACTCCAAACTCAAAGTCACTGGAACCCAGGCCCAGCATGGCTCCTCCCTCCCCAGCAAGGATAGGAGAGGACAGCAGGGCATCAGCCAGACTGGGACCTGGAGGCACTGTCACAAGGTGGGACCCTGCTCCTTCCTTCCCATTCAGAGTGTTGATGAAGGCTGTCAGCTTCTCTGTGTTCACCTCCTGGAGACCAAATGGTTTTTTTATGTAAGGGAGACAGTGATGGCTATAAAGAAATAATGAGACCAGAGCAATATTAGGTTTAATATTTGGTACCTCCTCTCCAAAGTTAATGATGTCCACACTGACTTTCTCTTTCTTTAGACGCTTCGCCATTTTCACCAGCTAGAGAGAATGTGACAGGAAATGCTGTCAGAGAAGACATCACTTTCATGTTTTTAAAGACACAGATGTGCCCATGCATTCAGTTATCAACACACCACACCCAAACTGCATTGACAGAACACTTACATCCTTCTCGTTGTCCTCCACTGGGCTGCCCACGAAGGCAATAATGCGCATCTTGTGGTTCTTCCCCTGTCTGTGCTTCAGCGCCAACTGTGAGAGGAGACAGGGTTCAGTTTAGTGACATACGATAAGTGCAATAAAGTGTATTGTATTACTGTGTAGTATACATACATGTGCCACTCTGATGCCTGTGCAGAAGCTGATGTTTCCACGGGGCTGGACAGCGTGCAGTTTAGACAAGATCCTCCCTGCGTCTGCAGTCAACGTGGTCAACACCTCACAGTTACTGCACAGAGAACAACAGTTACTACACATTTCTTACACTAAATCACTAAAAATAATCACAAGTATCCAGGAATCCTGTAATATCTAAATGTTGAACAACTTTGTTGGGACCACAAAGATGACACACACACACACGTAGCTCCATACTTGGCCATGGTGATGAGGCCCACATTGTTCTCAGGGTTGCTGCGCGTCTTGGAGTGACACACAATGTTGACAGCATCTTGCTGGGCCTGCAGTCTGGTGGGGAGGAAGTCTCCATTCCTCATGTATTCACTGTTGTCCACACTGAGGCACATGGACAACACAGTACATACATAAGTTACCCAGTGGAGCGTGTAAGCCAGGGAGGGGAAACTCCAGTCCAGTAGGATAAGAGTCCTTCTGGACTGTTGGAGCTAGGAACACAAGCATTTCGCTACAACCCGCAATAACATCTGCTAAATATGTGACCAATAACATTTTTGATGTCACTTTTCCCCCATCCCTAGCAAACACAGCTGATTTAAACAAATTGCATTCTAAACTGAAGATCATGATAGGTTGATTATTGGAGTCAGGTGTGTTGCTGGGGCAAAAGTGTGACACCATCCAGGCTCCTGAGGACTGGAGTTGCCCATCCCTGATGTAGGCCTACCAGAGCAGGGTTTCCCAAACTCGGTCTTGGGGCCCCATTTTGGTTTTTTTCCCCCTAGCACTACACAGCTGATTCAAACAATCAAAGCTTGATGAGTGGGTTATTTGAATCAGCTGTGTAGTGCTAGGGCAAAAACCCAGTATTAGACCTATATTTAGATCTATATTAAGAACAGTGTTGCATAAGTTAGTTAATGCCGCCATAAATATCTTTTTGGGCGACCCGACCAAATTCACATAGAAATGTGAGTTATATGTAATTCTCATTGAAAGCAAGTATTTTACTTTCGGTTTTGTACACCAGCTTCAAACAACTGAAAATACAATATGTTTGGTTATGGAAAATATATTTCACAGCGTTTAGATGGTACAATGATTCTCTACACTATCCTTGCTTTTTTTTTGTCACAAATGGAAATGTGCATAACTATTCGCATTTTAGCAACCAGGAAATGGCGGAGCGAGTTCTGCAAAGTGCATCTTTAAGTGTGCACTTCACTTAACTGGCAACCCTTCTTTTTCCCCAACCAGGACGAGGATTCACCCCCCTTCCCCCATGCTGCTAATCCCTAGACAGACTGCTAGTAGGGGACATATTGGAGTGCCTAGCTAGCGAATGTTGTCGATGTTGACATAGGTAGTTTTTATCCAGAGCAACTTGCAGAAACAAAGACTGAGGTCATCGTTTACTGAACCTTAGTAAAACAACAATGTCTAAACCACTGCCTTGTTCCCCTTGTTCACAAAATAACAAGGAAGCTAGTTAACGTTAGCAGTTTCAGGATTAAATGCTTGTTACATTTGCAAAATCCCTCACGAACTGACTTGAAACAACTTTTCAGGGAACATCTTACTAGCTAAACTGCTCTAAATTGCAATCAGAACCGTTGCATGTCATAGCGAAGCTAGCATTAGCAAGCCAAAAATGACTCAGGGAAATGGCTAACTAGGATTGCCAGTGTTTACATAAAACTCATGTTAGCGGAAATTTCAGGATTAAAAAAATTACTCAGATGCACGTTCACAATAAACTAAACAAACTCTACCTCTTACTTCGTTTAAAGAATAATACATATGATGACAATTTATATTTTTTCTTTCCCTTACCAGACCATAGTACTTTCGAGCCCCATCTTGTAATCTTTGCGTTGCTATCTACGTCACCAAAACTGATGGTCGATGGGAAATACAGTTCTTCGGGCCAAAAATACCTGGGCATAAATTTTACCATGACTTACACATATCACAGGTGGTTGGTGGCACCTTAATTGGGGAGGACGGGCTCATGGTAATGGCTGGAGCGGAATTAGTGGAATGGTATCAAATAGATCAAACATGGTTTCCATGTGTTTGATGCCATTTTATGAGCAGTCCTCCCCTCAGCAGCCTCCACTGACATTATGGACCAAGAGAGACTGCAATCCACATTTTGGTTTGGTTTACTTAGCCACTGCCACAAACACTTAATATTAAATTTTTTGGGGCCCTGCTTTGCCTCTCCTGCAAACAAAAACCTAAAAGTGAATATAATGTAAAATGCCATGTCATGGACAAGACTCTCCCACTCACAAATAAAGTAATATGAATTTGTGGATCTACTGTAGTGTAGACCTACCCTTCCAATCCCTAAACTGTTGTATCATGTTCAGGAATAAGGACAAGAACCAACATTTAGAAAATATGTTTAATTCTAAAATCAGATACAATATGAAAAACATCACCACCACATCACTGAAAGATGGTAGAAGGAACAGGCAGCATGAGAAGGCATTTCCGTGACTACTATATACATATACACATTTTATACAGGTAGAGTAAAAATAGAGTAATTGAAGCATAGATGGTAACCAGCAATGTTGGCTAGGAGGCTGTGTGAAACATTCAACGTAGAAAAGCATGGGAGATCATTGCCCCAGAATAATGATGGAGAATATATCAAAATCAAACATGAAATATAAAAAGTGAAATTGTCAAATAATCCCCTCCCATATCCAATACACTACTTAAGTCTCTGACATTTACTGTCAGAAGAATACATTATTATACGTACAATCATCTACGGTACATGTACAACTTAAGAATAATTTCAGGCTACAAGGTCATAATAATAATACAAATACAATAAATACGATTCTTCAAACTTTAAGATGGCAGACTTGTTCATATTGCATTAGTTCATATGTTGTGTAGTGTCTGTGTTGCAAGTGTACCGCCCTTTGAGCACCAAAGGGTGATGTGTCTGTTGTGCCGTGGTCCAGTCAAGTCACCAGACACTGCAACGGGTTAAATCCAGCATCTACACAGAACCACACGGGCTTTAAAACAACATTGTTTTGAGACTGTCAGATGTTAGTTTGTAAAGTTAAGCATACGCTAAAAGTCATGATCAGTGTTCATGGATTCAAATCCAGACCCTGTTGTCGCACTAAGGCTTTTGTTATAATAAGATACAATACCATCTATCAGGAAAATGTGATTCAAAACTTGGGAACATGGGGCTTGGAGTGTTTTCTTTGGTGGCCAACTGTTCTCAAACTAACAGTGCAATACTTTGAACTGATCTCTTTGAAATGATGGGGAAGCTGAGCAGGGTTATCAGCGTCAAAGGTCGAAACATTCAAAAGAGCACAACTTTTAATTGAGGGCCATGGTTGGAAATAACCTTAACCAGGAATACCATATGAGGGTTAGGGAGGAAAAGTAGTGAACGCAAGATCTTGAAATGAATCAAACTATGTAGTAATTCAATTATTTGTGTAAATAACTCATTGTGGATCCAATACCACCCACTCTTGTGCCCTTCCTTCCTGTGTGCTTTAGAACATGTCTAGTTATCATGCAGGACAGCTCCTCTCAAACTGTGTGCTGCAACTCTGTTTGAAGGGTCAAACTCAGATCTGTTGGGAAAACATCAAGTTCATCAAAACTCAAGTTCTGAAGCATAGGTCTCCTCCATGTAGTTTCCATATGCAGTGTGTTCATATGTTCAAGTCCATATCATTTTGATTGCTTTTCCAATTTGTCATGACAGTTGATCAGACAGAGCTCCACTTCCAGCCTCTAGTTTCTTCAGGACATGGCTGTGTTCTTGTACTCCCCCCCCTCCCCTTTAAACATTCCCTATTGTCTCATGGTGCATCAATGAACATGAATAATTTCCACCACAGGCCGATATCCCCCAGTTTGTCCATCTCACCCTCATCTCCCTCTCTGCTTTGGACCACATGTGCTCTCATCTACTTAGAAATGTGTCCTCACAATCAGGCCTTGTGGCCCTTTAAACCACACTGTGTTGGGTGTCAAATACAAGATCCAGCATAACCACTAGGCAGTGATATGTATCGCTGTGTCTGAAATATCCTACTACAGGATAAATAGTATGAGCTGCCAACCGGAGCTTGTGTTAGTATTCTACACAATGATTGAGCAAATGGGGGAAAAAAAGAACAAAACCATAATGTTTATATAAACGTTAATGTACAAGAGGTGTACTACAGACACGCAAACTCCATTAGTCATACACACGTGGTGAGTCTCATACTCAGTGGACTGCAGCAGGGATTTCTGTAACCAGCATATCCAAAGTGGTTGAATGACAGTGGTAAAATTACCATTGCTTGAAGATCACTTAATATAATCATTATGTGTACAAAACAGTCTAAATGGCTGGATGTGAATGAATGTGATGGAACTGTGAACCGCCATACGAAGACCGAAAAAGGCATGAGTGTGGAGTGTGCATAAACGCTCGCTTATTCCTTTCAACCCTGCCGGTTGATTGGTCAAATTTTCTTTCAAAGATACTTTTGATTGGCAGTGTGAATATAAAAACAACAGACTCAAACAAGAGTTTGAATGTGTGTGTAACGGGACATTAAAGAAAACTAAAACACAAGAGAGACACAAACACGTCTCACAGCTCAGCAAGACTAGCACCAGACTGAGACACAAAGGCACAGATATAAAAGGAAGACGGTGAGTGAGAGGCAGCTAGTGTTAGTGTGGTCATGTCACTGTCCTGTCCTTCTGTTACTACTCCTCGCTGTCTCTTCTCTGGTGTGGGGAGCCTCTATTCAAGGGATCATCAACTAGATACAGCCGTGGGCCGATTTTCTTCTTGAGCGGATGGTCAGGGGGCCAGGAACATAATTACAAATAATGTGTTGAGTGCAAATTGACTGCAAGAAGCCCAAACAGATAATATTTGACTAAAACAATTTCAAACCTTGCTTACAATCACATATCTCTCTATTATGCATAGGAATACTTTGGAACAGATTTCTCAAATTAAAATCACTTGGAGCTGATTTGCTGGTGTTTTTTTAAACCTTATTTTATGTCCTCTTTAAACCTTGATCACTATAGCACATGTGGTCTCATCAGAGAGGAAGATTCCAGGATAACCATGGAGACAGAGTGACAGACAGAGCCTCCCCATCAGACAGTACCAGAGCAATAGACACATAAACAACACTGTGTATAGCAGTGGAGGCTGCTGAGGGGAGGACGGCTCATAATAATGGCTGGAACGGTGAGAATGGAATGGCATCAAACCATGTGTTTGATGTATTTGATACCATCCCACTCATTCCGCTCCAGCCATTACCACGAACCCGTCCTCCCCAATTAAAGTGCCACCAACCTCCTGTGGAGTATAGCCTACCTATAGCTCTGGCCTGTACATTCCAGCTCCCAAATTCAGTCAGTCAGCCACTGTATACATCCATAATCTAAATGAATAGAAGGTCTGTGTGATGAAAACATATGTTCTGTCCATAGCAGTAAAAGTGTAGTCATAATAAAAAGTATAAAACACTACATAGAGATGATTCTCCTGTTTCCCTCCCATCTCCTGGCTGTGTGGAGAGAGGAGGGGGTGGAGAGATGTAGAATGATAATATATGAGATATTATGCTCTGAGTCACTGAAAACTGAACCCACTTAGACTTTCCACAAGAAGGAATGCACACAGTAACACAGAACAACCCTGTGTAGCTCAGTTGGTAGAGCTTGGCGTTTGCAACGCCAGGGTTGTGGGTTCGTTTCCCACGGGGGGCCAGTATGAAAATGTATGCACTCACTAACTGTAAGTCGCTCTGGATAAGAGCGTCTGCTAAAAATGACTAAAATGTAAAAACCAGAGTGTGATATAGAGCATGGTGTTCCTCCTCCACACTGTCGATACAGGGGTGTCTGAGCCCACATCCCTCTCCCCTTCAGACTTTGTGATCGGTGGGACAGTTTAAGTGGGTTTAGTGACACAGAGACTCCTGTAACTTAGTTAGAGATGGGTTTCTAGCAGCACTGTGTCTGTCTGGCTGACCAAGCCTTCAGACAACCACCCCCACCTCACACATACACACTCTCTCTTTCTCTTTGCTCCTCTCGCTGGCACTCAGTCAGTCACTCACCCTCTCCCTCTTTCACTTCTCAACCCCCCCATCCCGTTCAGCCAGCCTGAAGTACATTCCAAACCTCGAGGGATGGATCGAAAGAGGAGTCAGGATGGAGGATTACTCTCCCCCTCTCGCTCTCTCTTCCACCCACCTCCTTGGTTCCAAAATCACCTTTTCCTCAGATGACTCCAGATCAGTTGTTACTGTTGGGGACAGACAGGGAGGGAGGCCAGTGAGCTATGGGAAACACCATAGTGAAGATCTTAAGAAGAGGAGGAAGAGGATTGGGCCAGATTTAGCAGATGTTGGTCTCTGGGACGATGTCTGATAGTGAGATGGCATCTTCATTACCTGACTGATCACCTGATTCTTTCACTTCCGCCCCCATACTGAGAGACAGAGAGAGAGAAGATTGATAAGGGTATGTGTGTGTATAGTGTGTGTTCATGTAAATGGGAATACATGCGAGTCAATGGTGTAATTCCTTTGTGTACCTGTGGGAGGCACCGTGGTCTTGGTCTGTGCTTGTTACTGCTCTATGCACCTCAACCCCTACTGACCTACAGAGAGAGAGAGAGAGAGAGAAACACATGAACTGGGTGACTTGAGGAGGAGGACTTACTTTGTGGAGGAGAGGGGAAGAGAGGAGAGGTGATGGAGGGATGTGTTACCGTAGCGGAGGAGAGGAGGTGGTGAGTCCTGTGCTTCCTAATGAGGACGTAGAGAGGTTGGCCTCTGCATCCCCTGACCCTCCCGCCAGGGGAGGGGTTCTTGGCACCAGGTCTGGCCTGCCCGACTGCATGCCTGAACAGAAAGAGGGAGTAAAGAGGGAAACTAATAGCCCAATTCCAAGTCCACCCCTAACCCCTTGTCCATAGGCACTTCATGTAGCTCTGGTCCACCTTGACCTCTGATCAAACATACAATCCATGTTTGTGTTAACTGTTCACTCACCGCTGTCTCCATCTGCGTCAGCCCTGTTGAAGTGGGAGTGGTAGACGAGTCGGGGGTCCACCACAGACTGTCCAGCAGCGTGGGAGTGGGGGGTGGGGCCTCCCAGGGTAGGAGCTCTCCTCAGACCCCCCGGACCCCCACCACGAGACTTCTTAGACGGGGAGAGCTTCACTGAGGGGTGGGGATGGGGGGGGTGGAGAGAACAATATAACAATAAATAACGACAGCACGTTATATCATAAAAGTCAATATTGAAACAGAAAATACACAAGCACACAGCAGTCTTACATGGGATCTTCTTGAACACTGTGTTACACATGAATTGTTGGAAGCGCTCAGCGTAGAAGCCTGGTCTGTGCACCGACACTGTATCCTACAGAGGAAAAGGAATAAACCAGCTATAACCTGACATAGGCCTGACATAAGCAGTGGCAGATCTGACACCTGCATCTGTGGCATCTTTCATAATGTACTACAGGTATAGTGTGTGTGTGTGTGTGTGTGTGTGTAGGATCTTACCCCATCATGGACGAGGGCCTTCCATGAGTGCTCCAACTTCTTGATGAACCTGAAAAAACAGTCTTGGTGAACACAGCTCAGTTGGTAAAGCATGGCGCCAGGATAGTTGGTTCGACTCCTGGGACCATCCATACGTAAAATATAAGCACGCATGACTAAGTCGCATTGGATAAATTCATCTGCTAATGGTATACAGTGAGCTCCAAAAGTATTGGGACATTGACCATTTTGTTGTTGTTTAGGCTCTGTACTCCAGCACTTTGCATTAGAAATGATACAATGACTATGAGGTTAAAGTGCAGACTGTCAACTTTATTTTGAGGGTACTTACATTGTATCATTTCAAATCCAAAGTGCTAGAGTAAAACAAGAAATGTGTCACTGTCCCAATACATTGAGTACTGTATCATTATATTAACTATGTGAAATTGTATGTAGTCTGTACACAAGAACGCACACACAAACAAAGAAACAAGCACCTACCTGTAGGACTGCAGAATGTCGATGATGCCGATAAAGACCAGCAACCTCTCTCCTTTAGAGTTCCTGGCTGGGATCCCGCCCATACTGAAATGACATCATACACCACACCAACCAATCACCATCAACAAATCATAATTTTATGTGAAAGTTGGCACTTTTCCCAAAGTAATATCGTGTGATGTATTGATTGACTCACTGGTCCTCAGACTCCAGGGCCCCCTTCCCGCGGGCCTCTCCCTGTATAGACTCCATGGCTGTGCAGTATAGACTCTTCTGGGCCTGGGGTCGTCGCTGGTCTGGGGTCACCGCCCCCTCTGACCCACCACTGTCCCCCACCTGCCCCCCTCCTCGCTCCCGCTCCCTACTAGCCTGCTCCAGGTTATGGATCCCCACCAGCAGACTGTAGTCCATGATCTTAAAACTCTGCAGGAGCTGGAGAACACACAAACGCATAAGAGTTACTATACAGTACACCCAAACAGCACATACACAAAACAGAACACACACACCCTCCCTCCCTCCCACCAGGCAGTCTCTCTGGATGGTCTTGCTAAGGGCGTTGTAGTTGTCCGGCTCCAGCAGCATTCCATCAGGCAGGTCCTGGATGAAGTCCAGGTCTTTATAGGTAGGAAAAGTCTTCTCCCTCTCCTTGGCTGAGGCCCGTCTCTTATAGGTGGAACCCTTCATGTCGTACTTGAGGTGCATGTGGACCACGCGGGGCAGCAGGTTGTTCATCACCACCAGGCGGATGTTCTTCCCTCCCGCCTGGATGCAGTACAGACCGTAGAACTTAGGAAGCAGGGTCCGCTTGTTCTGATTCAGGTTCTACAGAGGGGTTGGATGGAGGGAGAGAAGGGGGGAGGGTGGAAAGCGGGGAAAGAAGGGAGGGGTAGAAAGGAGAAGTGAGGAGAGATTGGGGGGGAGAGAGGAAAAGACAAGACAGTTAGGTATTATATAAACACTAAAACACACAGGCCACCACAGACAGTATCTTCCCTCTCCTCCTTCAATATCTTTCCATTAAGTATCCTCCTCCTTCAATATCTTTCCATGAAGTATCCTCCTCCTTCAATATCTCTCCATGAAGTATCCTCCTCCTTCAATATCTCTACATGAAGTATCCTCTCCCTCCTTCAATATCTCTCCATGAAGTATCCTCCTCCTTCAATCTCTACACGAAGTATCCTCCCCCCTATAATATCTCTCCATTAAGTATCCTCCTCCTTCAATATCGCTCCATGAAGTATCCTCCTCCTTCAATATCTCACCATGAAGTGTCCTCCCCCCCTCAATATCTCACCATGAAGTATTACCCCCCATCAATATCTCTCCATTAAGTATCCTTCCCCCCTCCTTCAATATCTCTCCATGAAGTATCCTCCTCCTTCAACATCTCACCATGAAGTATTACACCCCCCCCCCCTTCAATATCTCACCATTAAGTATTACCCCCCCTTCAATATCTCACCATGAAGTATCCTCCCCCTGCTCCTTCAATATCTCACCATGAAGTATCCTGGTAGTAGCTTCTGGAGAAACTCAGCCTCTTTGTGCTGCACCGTCTTGATAATGAACTCATCATCACTGGACACGTAGAAGAGAGAGCCACTGGCCCCGGAGTTAGACAGCTCTATCAGGCCATCGTTACACAGAGAGTACTGTAGGATAGGAGTTAGTTAGCATCCTGACCACAGAACTACAACCAGACAAGACCAATCAACCATCCTGACCATAGAGAACTACAACCAGACACAACCAATCAAAACCAAACCAACCCAACCAGATTCAATTAAGGAAATCTTTGTAGTCTACTGACCAGGTAGTCGTCTGGCCGGATGCCAAAGAGTTCTCTGAAGTAGCGGAAGGCGATGGGGGCGTATGTCTTAAACCTGAAGTCACTGTAGTGGTGGGCAGGTGTCAGGTTACTGCCCTCACTGAGACAGACAGAGGGGGGGGGGGGGGGTTAATGAGCGCTGAATACAGGAAGAGTTCTCTCAAGCATAGATGCAAGATGGACACACCCAGACCAATGGTGTCCAACAGTTTAGAATTTTTTTCCATTATCTAGCTAATCTTATGCTATTTTACACATTTTGCCATGAGGCTGAGAGAAAATGTTTTAGTTTCCTGTAATTATAAACATTTCTTTCATGGTTTATGACTTGTTCATATACTATCTAGGGGGACCCCCTCCAGAAAGTATTCAGACCCCTTGACTTCTTCCAAATTGTGTTACGTTACAGCCTTATTCTAAAATTTATAAAATATATTATATTCCCCTCACACAATATCCCATAACGACAAAGCGAAAACAGGTTTTTATAAATTTTTGCACATTTATAAAAAGTAAAACAGAATATATAATTGTGCAAGTTCTCCCACTTAAAAAGATGAGAGAGGCCTGTAATTTTCATCATAGGTACACGTCAACTATGACAGACAAAATGAGAAAAAAAATCCTGAAAATCACATAGTAGGATTTTTAATGAATTTATTTGCAAATTATGGTGGGAAATAAGTATTTGGTCAATAACAAAAGTTTCTCAATACTTTGTTATATACCCTTTGTTGGCAATGACACAGGTCAAACGTTTTCTGTAAGTCTTCACAAGGTTTTCACACACTGTTGCTGGTATTTTGGCCCATTCCTCCATGCAGATCTCCTCTAGAGCAGTGATGTTTTGGGGCTGTCGCTGGGCAACACGGACTTTCAACTCCCTCCAAATATTTTCTATGGGGTTGAGATCTGGAGACTGGCTAGGCCACTCCAGGACCTTGAAATGCTTCTTACGAAGCCACTCCTTCGTTGCCCGGGCGGTGTGTTTGGGATCATTGTCATGCTGAAAGACCCAGCCACGTTTCATCTTCAATGCCCTTGCTGATGGAAGGAGGTTTTCACTCAAAATCTCACGATACATGGCCCCATTCATTCTTTCCTTTACACGGATCAGTCGTCCTGGTCCCTTTGCAGAAAAACAGCCCCAAAGCATGATGTTTCCACCCCCATGCTTCACAGTAGGTATGGTGTTCTTTGGATGCAACTCAGCATTCTTTGTCCTCCAAACACGACGAGTTGAGTTTTTACCAAAAAGTTATATTTTGGTTTCATCTGACCATATGACATTCTCCCAATCCTCTTCTGGATCATCCAAATGCACTCTAGCAAACTTCAGACGGGCCTGGACATGTACTGGCTTAAGCAGGGGGACACGTCTGGCACTGCAGGATTTGAGTCCCTAGCGGCGTAGTGTGTTACTGATGGTAGGCTTTGTTACTTTGGTCACAGCTCTCTGCAGGTCATTCACTAGGTCCCCCCGTGTGGTTCTGGGATTTTTGCTCACCGTTCTTGTGATCATTTTGACCCCACGGGGTGAGATCTTGCGTGGAGCCCCAGATCGAGGGAGATTATCAGTGGTCTTGTATGTCTTCCATTTCCTAATAATTGCTCCCACAGTTGATTTCTTCAAACCAAGCTGCTTACCTATTGCAGATTCAGTCTTCCCAGCCTGGTGCAGGTCTACAATTTTGTTTCTGGTGTCCTTTGACAGCTCTACGGTCTTGGCCATAGTGGAGTTTGGAGTGTGACTGTTTGAGGTTGTGGACAGGTGTATTTTATACTGATAACAAGTTCAAACAGGTGCCATTAATACAGGTAACGACTGGAGGACAGAGGAGCCTCTTAAAGAAGACGTTACAGGTCTGTGAGAGCCAGAAATCTTGCTTGTTTGTAGGTGACCAAATACTTATTTTCCACCATAATTTGCAAATAAATTCATTAAAAATCCTACAATGTGATTTTCTGGAAAACATTTTCTTAAATTTGTCTGTCATAGTTGACGTGTACCTATGATGAAAATTACAGCACTAGTATGAGACTCTAAAATTAGCTCAGGTGCATCCTGTTTACATTGATCATCCTTGAGATATTTCTACAAATTGATTGGAGTCCACCTGTGGTAAATTCAATTGATTGGACATGATTTGGAAAGGCACACACCTGTCTATATAAGGTCCCACAGTTGACAGTGCATGTCAGTGCAAAAAACAAAGCCATGAGCTCGAAGGAATTGTCCGTAGAGCTCCAAGGCAGGATTGTGTCGAGGCACAGATCTGGGGAAGGGTACCAACACATTTCTGCAGCATTGAAGGTCCCCAAGAACAGTGGCCTCCATCATTCTTAAATGGAAGAAGTTTGGAACCACCAAGACTCTTCCTAGAGCTGGCCGCACCGGGCCAAACTGAGCAATCGGGGGAGAAGGGCCTTGGTCAGAGCTCCAGAGTTCTCTGTGGAGATGGGAGAATATTCCAGAAGGACAACCATCTCTGCAGCACTCCACCAATCAGGCCTTTATGGTAGAGTGGCCAGACGGAAGCCACTCCTCAGTAAAACGCACATGAAAGCCCGCTTGGAGTTTGCCAAAAGGCACCTAAAGACTCTCAGACCATGAGAAACAAGATTCTCTGGTCTGATGAAACCAAGATTGAACTTTTTGGCCTGAATGCCAAGCATCACATCTGGAGGAAACCTGGCACCACCCCTACGGTGAAGCATGGTGGTGGCAGCATCATGCTGTGGGGATGTCTTTCAGCGGCAGGGACTGGGAGACTAGTCAGGATCAAGGCAAAGATGAACGGAGCAAAGTACAGCGAGATCCTTGATGAAAACCTGCTCCAGAGCACTCAGGACCTCAGACTGGGGCGAAGGTTCACCTTCCAACAGGACAACGACCCTAAGCACACAGCCAAGACAACGCAGGAGTGCCTTCAGGACAAGTCTCTGAATGGCCGTGAGTGGCCCAGCCAGAGTCCGGACTTGAACCCGATCTAACATTTCTGGAGACCTGAAAATAGCTGTGTAGCGACACTCCCCATCCAACCTGACAGAGCTTGAGAGGATCTGCAGAGAAGAATTGGAGAAACTCCCAAAATACAGATGTGCCAAGCTTGTAGCGTTGTACCCAAGAAGACTCGAGGCTGTAATCGCTGCCAAAGGTGCTTCAACAAAGTACTGAGTAAAGGGTCTGAATACTTACGTAAATGTGATTTCAGTTTTTTATTTTTTTTATAAATTTGCAAACATTTCTAAAAACCTGTTTTTGCTTTGTCATTATGGGGTATTGTGTGTAGATTGATGAGGGGGAAAAGGATGTGTACTACGCCAGTGACACAGACACACACGGGGAGACACACGTCTAACCTGGGGAAGAAGATGCTCTCGACCACCACAAAGTCCTGCATGAGAACGTCCCTCTCTGCCTTCTGACTCAGACTGCCCACAGTGTGAGTGATGCCCAGCTGGATGGCTCCTTTCAGGGCTGACGACGTGGTCTGGAGGGGGAAGTGGAAGAGATAAATGGAGAAATGGATGGTTGTCAAGATAGATTGATAAATTAATTGTGTCTGAGGAATTCTCATTATATAATTAATCTATGACTCTCAAATGCTTGTGTACATTACATTCTGCGATTCATCATTAGGTGTGGACGGGGAAGGGTTTCAGGCTACGGGTAATTTTAGCACACACATGGTGGGTTTGTGTGTGTTGACCCCATACTGACCTTTTTATAGGTGGTCTCTCCAGTGTTAGTCTCAACTCCTCTGTGTCCAATGGTCTTCTTCATACTCTGACTGGATCCAGGCATCTGAGAGAGAGAGAGACACACACAGAGAGACAGACAGGAAGAAAGAGAGAGAGAGAGAGAGAGAGAGAGCGAGAGAGAGTAGAGTTTTTATAAAACCTTTATTTTATACTCAAGTGTTAACATTAATAATGGCACAATGCCTTTTCAGAAATGAAACAACAAATGTAATTCCTAAATAAAAAATAAAAATAAAAAACAATGGGCGATCTTTCACAGCCGAGAAGAACTAAAAATCCACTTTTATTCTCGCTTTCACTAATCCTTTAAAAAACACATCTTACATCCTGCCCATATCCCGTTTCTATCTTATGTTTCCTACTCAGAAAAATTGACATCTTAGCTTGTCCCAAAATAAAATGTAACAGTTGACATTTTCTTTTCTGTTGCTTACTATATTGAAACCCCAAAATAAAAACAGTGTTATTGAAAATATCCCCTACAGCTTTAAACAAAGACTCCAGCATTTCCAAGAGAGCTTTATCCTCTCACACTCCATAAAACAGTGAAAAATTGTTTCTCTTAAATTACAAAAAGGACATCCATCTCCAACATCTGAGTTAATAACAGATACAAAAGCATTAACTGCAATGATGCCATGCAAAACCCTCCATTGCATATCCCCAGTACCCTTTTGTAACGGTGGCTTGTACAGTGCTCTCCATGCTGGCTTTACCTTGTCATCAATGCCCAATTTTACCCTCCATGGTGTGTCTTTTGTTTTTTCTAATGTATCTTTATTCAACACCTTGACACACCCCCTATTTAAGTCTTTCCCATTCACCTCATCCAAACCCACCTCTTCCAACCCTCTCAAATCCAATAATAACGCCTTTCTTTCTGACTCTGGGATATTGGGTGTAATTCCCTAGTTTTGGAAATGAGACGTTTTCATCTTGTACCTTCTTCTTGTGACTATTCAGCATACCCCACTCTTCTGCTGACAGAGCCTTCCTGCAGCTTCCCAGCAGTTGTCCGACAATCCTTTCTGACCTCACCCCCAAATGTTCAGCCACCCGTCTTCCATCCATTAAGGCGGGCCCAGCCATGGCCATTAACAGTTTTAAGGTGATGATTTTGCCCTTCACCAGAATCTTGGAGAAATGTGGAACAGCTGCAGTTGTACAATCCAGTCTTGCCCCATACACCAGAGGTTCCTCCAACAGCCATTGCACTGACTCCGCTGAAGTTCATCTGGACACCTTCATTATGCTCCACACCCTAAGAAGGCCTCTGTAAAACGGAGGTACTCCCTCCCTAGAAATCTGGCTACTATCAACCAAAAATAAAGCCTTCTTTAAACCTAATCCCCCAACCTGCTGTAATACAAGACCTGCCACCCCTCTCCAAACCACATTTTCCGGTCCATAAAGCAACCTTTGAATAAACTGAAACCGGAAAGCAGCAGCCCTACTAGCAAGATGTACAAGACCTTGTCCCCCCTCCTCTTTTGACAAATACAAAACACTTTGTGGAACCCAATGATATTTATCCCAAAAGAAATCTACAACAATCGCCAGTATCTTAGCCAGAAGGCCAGATGGTGGCTCTAAAACTGACAACAGATGCCACAGTGCAGAGGCAATCACATTGTTTACTATAATAGTGCGCCCCCTATATGACATACGAGATAACAACCAACGCCATCTCCTCATCCTCACTTCCACCATTTCAAATCAAATCAAATTTTATTGGCCACATGCGCCGAATACAACAGGTGCAGACATTACAGTGAAATGCTTACTTACAGCCCTTAACCAACAGTGCATTTATTTTTAATAAAAAAGTCAAATAAAACAACAACAAAAAAGTGTTGAGAAAAAAAGAGCAGAAGTAAAATAAAATAACAGTAGGGAGGCTATATATACAAGGGGGTACCGGTGCAGAGTCAATGTGTGGGGGCACCGGCTAGTTGAGGTAGTTGAAGTAATATGTACAGTGGGGGAAAAAAGTATTTAGTCAGCCACCAATTGTGCAAATTCTCCCACTTAAAAAGATGAGGCCTGTAATTTTCATCATAGGTACACGTCAACTATGACAGACAAAATGAGAAAAGAAATTCCAGAAAATCACATTGTAGGATTTTTAATGAATTTATTTGCAAATTATGGTGGAAAATAAGTATTTGGTCAATAACAAAATTTTCTCAATACTTTGTTATATACCCTTTGTTGGCAATGACACAGGTCAAACGTTTTCTGTAAGTCTTCACAAGGTTTTCACACACTGTTGCTGGTATTTTGGCCCATTCCTCCAAGCAGATCTCCTCTAGAGCAGTGATGTTTTGGGGCTGTCGCTGGGCAACACAGACTTTCAACTCCCTCCAAAGATTTTCTATGGGGTTGAGATCTGGAGACTGGCTAGGCCACTCCAGGACCTTGAAATGCTTCTTACGAAGCCACTCCTTCGTTGCCCGGGCGGTGTGTTGGGATCATTGTCATGCTGAAAGACCCAGCCACGTTTCATCTTCAATGACCTTGCTGATGGAATGAGGTTTTCACTCAAAATCTCACGATACAAAATCCCATTCATTCTTTCCTTTACACGGATCAGTCGTCCTGGTCCCTTTGCAGAAAAACAGCCCCAAAGCATGATGTTTCCACCCCCATGCTTCACAGTAGGTGTGGTGTTCTCAACTCAGCATTCTTTGTCCTCCATACACGACGAGTTTAGTTTTTACCAAAAAGTTATATTTTGGTTTCATCTGACCATATGACATTCTCCCAATCCTCTTCTGGATCATCCAAATGCACTCTAGCAAACTTCAGACGGGCCTGGACATGTACTGGCTTAAGCAGGGGGACACGTCTGGCACGGCAGGATTTGAGTCCCTGGCGGCGTAGTGTGTTACTGATGGTAGGCTTTGTTACTTTGGTCCCAGCTCTCTGCAGGTCATTCACTAGGTCCCCCCGTGTGGTTCTGGGATTTTTGCTCACCGTTCTTGTGATCATTTTGACCCCACGGGGTGAGATCTTGCGTGGAGCCCCAGATCGAGGGAGATTATCAGTGGTCTTGTATGTCTTCCATTTCCTAATAATTGCTCCCACAGTTGATTTCTTCAAACCAAGCTGCTTACCTATTGCAGATTCAGTCTTCCCAGCCTGGTGCAGGTCTACAATTTTGTTTCTGGTGTCCTTTGACAGCTCTTTGGTCTTGGCCACAGTGGAGTTTGGAGTGTGACTGTTTGAGGTTGTGGACAGGTGTCTTTTATACTGATAACAAGTTCAAACAGGTGCCATTAATACATGTAACGAGTGGAGGACAGAGGAGCCTCTTAAAGAAGACGTTACAGGTCTGTGAGAGCCAGAAATCTTGCTTGTTTGTAGGTGACCAAATACTTATTTTCCACCATAATTTGCAAATAAATTCATAAAAAATCCTACAATGTGATTTTCTGGATGTTTTTCCCTCATTTTGTCTGTCATAGTTGACGTGTACCTATGATGAAAATTACAGGCCTCTCTCATATTTTTAAGTGGGAGAACTTGCACAATTGGTGGCTGACTAAATACTTTTTTCCCCCACTGTACATGTGGGTAGAGTTAAAGTGACTATGCATAAATAATTAACAGAGTAGCAGCAGCGTAAAAAGATGGGGTGGGGGGGGGGCAGTGCAAATAGTCCGGGTAGCCATGATTAGCAGTTCAGGAGTCTTATGGCTTGGGGTAGAAGCCGTTGTTGGACGAAGTAAACTCTCCGTTGCTGGACACAGACACAATGTAAACGATTTCCTGCTCAGTTTTTGTGATGTCCTCAGATCCATCAAAAAGCAGCCCTCAAAATTCAGCAGACTGCAACTTGGCTCGTAACTCCCCGCTGATGGTGTGAGCGATGCTCTGCATGATCCGTGTGCCCCCTTCACGTGAATGATATGCACCTCCAACATTTACTCCTAGCCGCTTCAGTAAAGGAACATCCTCAGAATAGGAAGACATGGGACGTGCGTGTTTAGCTTTATGGAAGGCGAGGAGAAAAATATTAAACAGAGCTTGCCGCTGTTCTTCATTCAGCTTGTCTCGCCATCTGGCAAGTGGGCGACTGGACATTTCTTCTCGGCTAGCTTGTTTAGCAATGGCTTGCGCCACATTCGTGTGCTCCTTGCTCTTTTCATGTTTGTCAAATAAAGGATGGTTGAAATTCTTTGAGCCTTTATAAAATGCACCTGTTTTGTCTGCTAGATGTGGATTTGAGAGGTAAATCTTGCACCACATTTCAGTGCGCTCATCGTTAGCGTCAAGCCACTGCACATCTTGGAGCCACTTTTCCCAAAAAATTAATTATTCGGCTCTGGCTCCAGTTGGCGTTTCTTTGTAGGTGGCGAAACGCAAAAGACTTGCTTAATGTCTGTTGCTTTTTGGACATCCCTGACAGTAGTTGACAAGCAACATGTCATGTGTAAGGTTAGATGAGAAGATCGGTCAAGTACGCAAAGGCGCGTAGTAACACAAGTGGCATTACGCATTCCTGATTTTTGTCGCTCTTGCGTACCTGCGTACCAGTTATGTGCACCCTTGCTTATAATCAGTGCACAATAAAGCCACCGACCTCCAGTTCTTCACCTCCCTAGGGTCATCCTTTTTGGGCAGTAGGGTGAGGACAGCCCTTCTGCAGCTTATTGGTAGTAACCCTCCGGTTAAACTATCATTAACTACTGCATTTACATTGACGTCATTTAGCAGACGCTCTTATCCAGAGTGACTTACAGTTAGTGAGTGCATACATAATTTTTTATACTGGCCCCCCGTGGGAAACGAACCCACAACCCTGGCATTGCAAACGCCATGCTCTACCAACTGAGCTACATCCCTGCCGGCCATTCCCTCCCCTACCCTGGACGACGCTGGGCCAATTGTGCGCCACCCCATGGGTCTCCCGGTCGCGACCGGCTACGACAGAGCCTGGATTCAGCTCTGCTAGCCAATCCTAGCCAATCCTCTCCCAACATAGCCCAAAAAGACTTTGTCAACGGGAAGCCCATCAATGCCTGGTACCCTTCCATTTTCCATGCCTTTTAATGCAGTGTATAGCTCCTGCAAAGACAATGGTTGCTCTAGCTCAACCTGAGCGTCTGCAGCCACCTGTGGGAGCACATCAAGGAACTGCGGTGTCACTGTTTTATCCTCTTTGTACTCACACTTGTAGAGCTCAGCATAGAACTCTACTGCCCTCTTTCTAATTTCACTAGGGCTAGTGAGCTCCTGTCCAACAGCTGATTTGAGACAATGAATAATTCTTCTTTGTCCATTCTTTTTCTCTAAACCAAAGAAAAATGTGGATGAGGCATCCATTTCAGAGATTCCCTGAAACGTACTTCTCACCAATGCCCCCTGTGCTCTGATACCCAGCAGGTCTGCCAATGCAGCTTCTTTCCTCTTCAGGGCCTGAGTATGGCCTCGATCTCCTGTGGTCTCAACCAACGTCATGAGTTCCACTATTTCAGTCTCTAGTGCTTTCATTGATCTGGTGATATCCTTGGTGACATTCCTCGTGTATTGATTACATAATTGTTGAATCTGGATTTTCCCTATATCCCGCCACTGTTGAAGGGATACAAAACTGGCCTTTTGAGACCTCCACCTCTCCCAGAAAAAACTAAAACATTTCCAGAAGTGAGCATCACTCAATAAAGTTATATTAAAATGCCAGTATGCGCTTTTGGGTTTTACATAGTTAATGAACACCACCTCTGTTATTAAACAATGATCAGAAAATCCCACTGGGGTTATCACACTTGATTTACAGACCCGAGATTGATGCTCAAAACAATAAAACCTATCTAACCTGGCCATAGAGATGGTGTTCTCTCACATGCGCCCAGGTGTACTCTCTCGTGCCTCCATGTTGACTCCGCCAAATATCACACAGTTCATGTGTTACAATGAGGCGTTTAAAAAAAGTCCTTGAGGCTATATGAGGTTCTTTGTGATTTCTATCTAAATCACTGACTGTGCAGTTAAAATCCCCAGCAATAAATAAATAATCTTCATTATTACATTTCTCAAATGGTATTTGATAATGTCTCTAAAAAACATACACTCTCAACTGCCACCACTGGGGCATATACCTTTATCAGACACATAGTGATGTTTTCATACCTTGCTCTAACTTTTAATAACCTCCCCTCAACTACCTCTTCAACCTCATATGACAAAGGCAAAAACCCTTTTGAGAACAAGGTGGTCACACCCCCACTTTTGGAGTTTTTATGACTACACACCACTGTCCCCCACCCCCCCCACTCCTGTTGCCACATAACTTAATTTCCCATATTACTATGCGTTTCTTGTAGAAAATGTATGTCACTTCCCTTTCCCCTAATTAACTCATATACTATGGCTCTTTTTTTAACGTCTCTTGCCCCATTTACGTTTAAAGAAGAAATGTTAAAACTGCTCATGGATGGAAAAAGTACAGAGGAAGACACATAAACCACATCTCTTTACAGAGTTAAAGCTGCGACTGAACTCTTTCATTTTCTTTAGAATTTCCATCACTTATCACTCTCGTGACCACTTTCTTGAGCAATTTCAGGGCTTGTCAAACCTCCCCCTGTTATTTTTGACATCAGAAAAATTGCTGATTCAATAAACAATTCACTTTCAGGGAAAAAATCTGTTACATTATAATCCTGCATATATTTCTTCCCTTTTGTCAACTTCAGAAATTGACGTACCTTCTCAATCCCATACCTCCCTTCCACCCCATTTATCTCACTATTTTGTTGTGACGCATCAGATGACACACTCTCGCTATCCTCCCCAGAAGAAAACTCCACCATCTCTACAACCTATTTATCTTCAACTGATTTATCAATCTCTACCTTCCTCTTGGAATTAGACCCTTCACCACCCCTTACATTCTTCCTCTTACTCCTTGGTACTTTGAAAACAGCTGCTTCCTTTTCCATTATTTCAACCTCCTCTTGACCTCCAATTTCATTTTCCAGCACCACCTCAGCGACGGCAGTCGCAATCTCACCGACTTTTTCCTCTCCTTTGTTCTGATCTACCACAATTGCCCCCGTATCCAAACTGCCTTCCTCTCCTACTTTTCCAACCACATCTGCCCACCTCCTCCCTTCCCCAGCACCCTTAGCATGTTCATCCCTTCGCGGTGGTGCATTAGCTGCACCAGCACTAGAGCTGCTACCAGACACTGCGCGCTCGTTCTCGGGACAATTACGTACCAAATGCCCCTCTCTTCCACAGCCAAAGCATTTCATTGATTCAGTAGAAGCGTAGAAGACATAATCAAATCCATCAATCTTAAAACTGAATGCTAAATTCAATTCGTCAGTGTCCTTCTTTAAAATCATATGCACTTGTCTCCTATGAGACACGACATGTTTCAGCAAAGGATATTTGCATCCAAAATTAACCTTCTTTATTGTAGATACAATTTGACCATGACGAGATAACTCTCGCGCCAACACTTCATCTCTAACAAATGGTGGCACGTTAGAAAGTATAACTTTCTTCGCCGGATTCATAAGCGGAAATACCGGTGTCTGTGTCTCCCGCAACACAACACCACTCTCAACTATCGTATTCACCTTTTCAATGGAATCTAAGAATATCACTACAGCGCTATTCATCCTTGAGGCTGATTTGATGCTATCATACCCAATGATAGCACCCACTGCCAAGCTACATTCTTCCACTGAACACCCGGCCGCAGCAGGAATCTTTACTCCATGCCGGCGACTACGTTTTTCAAACTCCAAACTTCCGCGAGTGGCCATTGCAACCAGCCCCACCCGCTGGTTGTGCCCTTGCAAAAAACAACCTCAACGATCCCACCACCCGTATACGTGCTTAGTGATAGTTAGACAAGATAACCTTAAAACAACTAAACTAAACTATATATCTACAGTGGGGAAATAAAGTATTTAGTCAGCCACCAATTGTGCAAGTTCTCCCACTTAAAAAGATGAGAGCGGCCTGTAATTTTCTTCATAGGTACACGTCAACTATGACAGACAAAATGAGAAAAACAAATCCAGAAAATCACATTGTAGGATTTTTAATGAATTTATTTGCAAATTATGGTGGAAAATAAGTATTTGGTCAATAACTAAAGTTTCTCAATACTTTGTTATATACCCTTTGTTGGCAATGACACAGGTCAAACGTTTTCTGTATGTCTTCACAAGGTTTTCACACACTGTTGCTGGTATTTTGGCCCATTCCTCCATGCAGATCTCCTCTAGAGCAGTGATGTTTTGGGGCTGTCGCTGGGCAACACGGACTTTCAACTCCCTCCAAAGATTTTCTTTGGGGTTGAGATCTGGAGACTGGCTAGGCCACTCCAGGACCTTGAAATGCTTCTTACGAAGCCACTCCTTCGTTGCCCGGGCGGGGTGTTTGGGATCATTGTCATGCTGAAAGACCCAGCCACGTTTAATCTTCAATGCCCTTGCTGATGGAAGGAGGTTTTCACTCAAAATCTCACGATACATAGCCCCATTCATTCTTTGCTTTACACGGATCAGTCGTCCTGGTCCCTTTGCAGAAAAACAGCCCCAAAGCATGTTTCCACCCCCATGCTTCACAGTAGGTATGGTGTTCTTTGGATGCAACTCAGCATTCTTTGTCCTCCAAACACGACGAGTTGAGTTTTGACCAAAAAGTTATATTTTGGTTTCATTTGACCATATGACGTTCTCCCAATCCTCTTCTGGATCATCCAAATGCACTCTAGCAAACTTCAGACGGGCCTGGACATGTACTGGCTTAAGCAGGGGGACACGTCTGGCACTGCAGGATTTGAGTCCCTAGCGGCGTAGTGTGTTACTGATGGTAGGCTTTGTTACTTTGGTCCCAGCTCTCTGCAGGTCATTCACTAGGTCCCCCCGTGTGGTTCTGGGATTTTTGCTCACCGTTCTTGTGATCATTTTGACCCCATGGGGTGAGATCTTGCGTGGAGCCCCAGATCGAGGGAGATTATCAGTGGTCTTGTATGTCTTCCATTTCCTAATAATTGCTCCCACAGTTGATTTCTTCAAACCAAGCTGCTTACCTATTGCAGATTCAGTCTTCCCAGCCTGGTGCAGGTCTACAATTTTGTTTCTGGTGTCCTTTGACAGCTCTTTGGTCTTGGCCATAGTGGAGTTTGGAGTGTGACTGTTTGAGGTTGTGGACAGGTGTCTTTTATACTGATAACAAGTTCAAACAGGTGCCATTAATACAGGTAACGAGTGGAGGACAGAGGAGCCTCTTAAAGAAGACGTTACAGGTCTGTGAGAGCCAGAAATCTTGCTTGTTGTGTGGCTGACTAAATACTTTTTTCCCCCACTGTATATCTATCTATCTATCTATCTATCTATCTATCTATATATATATATATATATATATATATATATATATATATATATATATATATATATATATATATATATATACACACATACACACACCAAAACCCAATAGAGTGAAAATAATTCCAGTCGCTCTCACAAATCACTCCTGCTTCACGACTCACTTCCAGCATGCACTCCAATGAGAGAGAGAGAGACAAGGAGAGAGAGAGACAAGAAGAGAGAGAGAGAGAGACAAGAAGAGAGAGAGAGAGAGACAAGAAGAGAGAGAGAGAGAGAGCATAAGGAGAAATAAAGGGTATTAAGAAACTAAAAATGCACTGTAGAGTTGTGTGTGTTTGACTCCATTAAAACAAGTTTCAGTGTCATATTGTTCTCTCCATTGTTTGGTTTTATGACACACAGCTTAAAAAGGTAAACATCTGCCATTGATACACAGAAACCATCAAAACCAGTTCCCCCTCCCCCCTCCCTTTCCACATAGCCTGTGTCTAGGGAGAGGACACAGACAGACAGGTGATATACAACACATCTTCACCGGGTTCTAGAAAGTTGTGTAAATACACACACTGTTCCCTAAAGCTAAAGGTAGTGGAAAACACAGTTTTATCAACAGGGCTCCAGCATCATCAGCAGAGTACTGTAATCAGTGGTTTAGTGAGTCAGGGATGGTGTCTGTCTGTCTTACCTCTGGAGATGCCATTTTCCGAGACCCACTGGACCCTGGGGTGGGGGGGGGGAGAGAGAGAGAGAGAGAAAAGGAGGAGAAAGGAAAACATATTAGAGAGTAGTGATGGACCTATTCTTGCACACCTCAGTCCTCCTCTTAGAATCTAACAGTTACCGACAGAACCAAGCTAATTTCACATAGCTGGAGTCATGTCGGCCAGCTGTAGTGATTCATTCATCGTCACATAGTATAGTAGTTTATGGAAGAAGGAACCCGTATTAAAGTGTCTGATAGCGATGTGCAATGTCTGGACTGACACTATCGTTTGACATCACGATGTCATCACCATCGACGATGCAATCGTAAAATCCCCCAAAACTAGTGTCTGACCAAATTGCTTAATTGCAGTCTTTCCACTCCATGCACAAAATGCTCATAAGAAAAACCTAATAAACTTCAGTGTAATTTTGATTTGAGTACAAATTTGTCGCAGTATATGCTTGACAACCACTCTTGGTTAATTACAAAAACAGCAGTCATTCGTGTTATTTTCCACAGATGCCGAGCCATGGTTGCCAGGCTCCCAAGTGGCGCAGCGGTCTAAAGCACTGCATTTCAGTGCTTGAGGCGTCACTACAGACCCGCTGGTTCGATTCCAGGCTGTATCACAACCGGCCGTGATTGGGAGTCCCATAGGGCGACGAACAATTGGCTCAGCGTCGTCCAGGTTTGGCCGGTGTAGGCCATCATTGTAAATAAGAATTTGGACTTACAGTGAGGGAAAAAAGTATTTGATCCCCTGCTGATTTTGTACGTTTGCCCACTGACAAAGAAATGATCAGTCTTTAATTTTAATGGTAGGTTTATTTGAACAGTGAGAGACAGAATAACAACAAAAAAATCCAGAAAAACACATGTCAAAAATTTTATAAATTGATTTGCATTTTAATGAGGGTAATAAGTCTTTGATCCCTCTGCAAAACATGACTTAGTACTTGGTGGCAAAACCCTTGTTGGCAATCACAGAGGTCAGACGTTTCTTGTAGTTGGCCACTAGGTTTGCACACATCTCAGGAGGGATTTTGTCCCACTCCTCTTTGCAGATCTTCTCCAAGTCATTAAGGTTTCGAGCCTGACGTTTGGCAACTCGAACCTTCAGCTCCCTCCACAGATCTTCTATGGGAATAAGGTCTGGAGACTGGCTAGGCCACTCCAGGACCTTAATGTGCTTCTTCTTGAGCCACTCCTTTGTTGCCTTGGCCATGTGTTTTGGGTCATTATCATGCTAGAATACCCATCCACAACCCATTTTCAATGCCCTGGCTGAGGGAAGGAGGTTCTCACCCAAGATTTGACGGTACATGGCCCCGTCCATCGTCCCTTTGATGCGGTGAAGTTGTCCTGTCCCCTTAGCAGAAAAACACCCCCAAAGCATAATGTTTCCACCTCCATGTTGGACAGTGGGGATGGTGTTCTTGGGGTCATAGGCAGCATTCCTTCTCCTCCAAACACGGCGAGTTGAGTTGATGCCAAAGAGCTCGATTTTGGTCTCATCTGACCACAACACTTTCACCCAGTTCTCCTCTGAATCATTCAGATGTTCATTGGCAAACTTCAGACGGGCCTGTATATGTGCTTTCTTGAGCAGGGGAACCTTGCGGGCGCTGCAGGATTTCAGTCCTTCACGGCATAGTGTGTTACCAATTGTTTTCTTGGTGACTATGGTCCCAGCTGCCTTGAGATCATCTGTAACTGACTTGCCTAGTTAAATAAAGGTTAAATAAAAACTTTTAAAAATTAATGGTTAGACCTACACAGCCACAAGAATGGCTAGGCCTAGGCTAACTGCTGCTCCCATTCACAATACACATTCTGCTCTAGATTTACCCACCACTTCTCCCTCTAATGTTGCTTCCATGTCAGCCTGCCCTGGACGCTGTTGCGGTGGGGCCTTTGCCTCGAGCCTAAAACAATCTAGGGGAACCCCTGCAATTCAGTCACTGCTCAGGATGCATTGCATTTGTATGACGGTTCTCCATAAATTCTAAAAACAGCTAATGTTGTAGCTTGCAGTTACTAAGGTTACCGACCGCCTATCTGTTACTTAGTACCTCTGCACTGTATGTAGGTCCATCTCCAGACAGTATAGTATTACAGCAGACATTCCCTCCCAGACAGTCTACCACAGAGCAAATACTGTGAGAGCATAGAGCAGCTGCAGGGCAACAAGTTAACTGACCACTCGCTGCATAACACACCACACACACACACAGTCAAAAAGACAGACACACAAACAGAGCGATGAGTGGACATAGCCTGGAATTAGGTTTAATGGGGAAAACCGGATACAGGGAAAGACCAGGGTGGTGAGAGGAAATTACGAGAGAACTCCTGGCATCAACACAGGGACATACAGTGCCTTGCAAAAGTATTCATCCCCCTTGACGTTTTTCCTATTTTGTTGAATTACAACCTGTAAATGTGGATTTTTATTTGAATTTCATGTACTGGACATACACAAAATAGCCCAAATTGGTAAAGTGAAATGAAAAGAATAACTTGTTTCAAAACATTCTAAAAAATAAATACTGCATATGCATTCACCCCCTTTGCTATGAAGCCCCTAAATAAGATCTGGTGCAACCAATTACCTTCAGAAGTCACATAATTAGTTTAATAAAGTCCACCTGTGTGCAATCTAAGTGTCACATGATCTGTCACATGATCTCAGTATATATACACACCTGTTCTGAAAGGCCCCAGAGTCTGAAACACCACTAAGCAAGGGGCACCACCAAGCAAATGGCACCATGAAGACCAAGGAGCTCTCCAAACAAGTCAGGGACAAAGTTGTGGAGAAGTACAGATCAGGGTTGGGTTATAAAAAAATATCTGAAACTTTGAACATCCCACCGTGCACCATTAAATCCATTATTAAAGAAATGGAAAGAATATGGCACCACAACAAACCTGCCAAGAGAGGGCCGCCCACCAAAACTCACAGACCAGGCAAGGAGAGGCAACAAAGAGAGGCAACAAAGAGACGAAAGATAACCCTGAAGGAGCTGCAAAGCTCCACAGCGGAGATCGGAGTATCTGTCCATAGGACCACTTTAAGCCATTCACTCCACAGAGCTGGGCTTTACAGAAGAGCGGCCAGAAAAAAAAAACATTGCTTAAAGAAAGAAATAAGCAAACACGTTTGGTGTTCGCCAAAAGGCATGTGGGAGACTCCCCAAACATATGGAAGAAGGTACTCTGGTCAGATGACACTAAAATTGAGCTTTTTGGCCACCAAGGAAAATGCTATGTCTGGCGCAAACCCAACACCTCTCATCACCCCGAGAACACCATCCCCACAGTGAAGCATGGTGGTGGCAGCATCATGCTGTGGGGATGTTTTTCCATCGGCAGGGACTGGGAAACTGGTCAGAATTGAGGGAATGATGGATGGCGCTAAATACAGGGAAATTCTTGAGGGAAACCTGTTTCAGTCTTCCAGAGATTTGAGACTGGGACAGAGGTTCACCTTCCAGCAGGACAATGACCCTAAGCATACTGCTAAAGCAACACTCGAGTGGTTTAAACATTTAAATGTCTTGGAATGGCCTAGTCAAAGCCCAGACCTCAATTCAATTGAGAATATGTGGTATGACTTAAAAATTGCTGTACACCAGCGGAACCCATCCAACTTGAAGGAGCTGGAGCAGTTTTGCCTTGAAGAAAGGGCAAAAATCCCAGTAGCTAGATGTGCTAAGCTTATAGAGACATACCCCAAGAGACTTGCAGCTGTAATTGCTGCAAAAGGAGGCTCTACAAAGTATTGACTTTGGGGGGGTTGAATAGTTATGCACGCTCAAGTTCTGTTTTTTTGTCTTATTTCTTGTTTGTTTCACAATAAAGCATATTTTGCATCTTCAAAGTGGTAGGCATGTTGTGTAAATCAAATTATACAAACCCCCCAAAAATCAATTTTAATTACAGGTTGTAAGGCAACAAAATAGGAAAAATGCCAAGGGGGTGAATACTTTCGCAAGCCACTGTACGTCGGTCTCTGCCAGACATAACCCCAGTCTGATACTGTGTCTAGACCACTGTACGTCGGTCTCTGCCAGACATAACCCCAGTCTGATACTGTGTCTAGACCACTATACGTCGGTCTCTGCCAGACATAACCCCAGTCTGATACTGTGTCTAGACCACTATACGTCGGTCTCTGCCAGACATAACCCCAGTCTGATACTGTGTCTAGACCACTGTACGTCGGTCTCTGCCAGACATAACCCCAGTCTGATACTGTGTCTAGACCACTGTACGTCGGTCTCTGCCAGACATAACCCCAGTCTGATACTGTGTCTAGACCACTGTACGTCGGTCTCTGCCAGACATAACCCCAGTCTGATACTGTGTCTAGACCACTATACGTCGGTCTCTGCCAGACATAACCCCAGTCTGATACTGTGTCTAGACCACTATACGTCGGTCTCTGCCAGACATAACCCCAGTCTGATACTGTGTCTAGACCACTATACGTCGGTCTCTGCCAGACATAACCCCAGTCTGATACTGTGTCTAGACCACTATACGTCGGTCTCTGCCAGACATAACCCCAGTCTGATACTGTGTCTAGACCACTATACGTCGGTCTCTGCCAGACATAACCCCAGTCTAATACTGTGTCTAGACCACTGGGTCCTCTCTACCAGAGCCAATGACTAAACTTTTTCCATCACCCAAACTAAGCTTTGGGACTTTTCCTGTGACTCACCGAGTTGCCATCTTCCTTTTTGGTAGGGATGTGCTCATTACCAATCCTATCTAAGATTAAATTCGACCCTGCAGACCCCAGGCCCAACTTTATCCAGCACAAGAGATAACAGCCCATAGCCTATTTTAAAACATTGCTATTTGTGCGACAAACATGCCAACATAGAAAAACCCAGAAGCAAAATATGTCTGGAATTTTCTCAATGTTGTTTTCACATAGTCATAACAATGCTTGAAAAATGTGCTCCTCACAAAAGGATTCGCCCTCTAAAATTGTGTGCATGTGTGAGATTCACCTTCTCGCCCACTCCAAGAGAACTTCAGGCCTATGACCAATAGCAACTGCTATTTCTGACTTTCAACATAGTGATATTACAAACAGTTGGGAAAAAACGTGTCTGCTGTTATTGTAATATTGTGGGCAGGTCAGAGTAATGTTGAGGACAGTGAGAGGCAAGAGGAGGGAGACCTCCTGAAAATATATAATGCGAGTGATGTAATGGTGGGATACTGAGAGCGAAACAGGAAACAGTCTAATATGCTATTTGTCTGAGACATTAGGCTAGGCCTATTCAAATTGTGAGATGGATCAAATCAATCAATTAAACCAATGCACATTGCTTGAACAAACTCCATAAGGATTAGTTAGCTCAGGGAGTGGAGATGCATCTTGTCTTGGTAAGCTATGTCGTAGCCATTTCACTGCGTAATGCATTGCACGCACACACAATAGAAAGCACGCACGCACACACAATAGAAAGCACACACGCACACACAATAGAAAGCAACTCTTAACCAAGCCTCTATTCGGTCCACACACCCTTTGCTTGCTCAAATGCCACAAGGTCCTGTAATGCCTGGAAGAGGCACTCACAGGAACTAAGTACACGCTCAGCCACTCGCTCACACACACACTGCAACCCCATGCAGGTACCTCTCTGCAAGGCTCTCCTCCAGAATTGAGTCCTAATGTCTGTGGAGTAAGATACAGAACCACCACAACCAGTTACACATGAACAAGGCATGCATACAACCAAATTAGGTTTCAATCACATTGCTCACCTCTAAATTAGCCTATATGGACCATAGGCTACAGAGATCTAGAAACAAGCAGCGCTTTGTTTAAGAAAAATTGCTTGTTTTTAAAAGTAGGATTTCGATAACATCCCAGTTCGACATTGTGTCCAAACATTTCCACAGTTACAATGAGGGTGCGTGTGTCCTAAACACATCTCAGTTCAGTTCACAACACATGTTGGCTGTTAGCCTGCACTGTAGCATGCATGTAGAGCAATAATATGGGAGTAAATGTGCTGGTTATTGGCCCAATTTATGAGCTTATATATAGACAGAGATCACCCTGTATCATTTGCGTTTGTGTTAATTGGCTTAGTTCACAGCCCTGTATTCAGACTTAGATCCCCATAAAGCAATCAGGCTTGTTATTGCGGGACCAAAACAGACCTATTCTCATGACCTGACTCAAACTGGCTAGCTACTACAGTACCAAGGGAAGAGCAACTGTAACAAACACCATAGTAAAGCTGATAAGAGCCTATACTAGACCAGGATTAGAAAGATAGAGAAGACTCTCATTTCCTGACCCAGCATCACTGTTCACAGCATAACCTCTGATATCAACTGATTCTGGACAAGTGAATAATGTGACCACAACCAAAAACCAACTCAGTCAGGACTAGGGCTGGGGCGATAAACCGAAAATCGACACCGACCATAATCACTTATCGCAGGCATTTTGCTGATATCTTTCCTTAGGATAAATTGCCTATAATAGAGAAACTAAGTTTTAAATGAAATTAATGAGCTAATATTGGTGATTGTTAATGGGACAATTGATGGCTACAACCATAAAACTAGCAGTAGTAGTTTAAATGATGATACAAAAAAAACGGTGGTTAACATTGTTATAAACGTATCGTTCTCGCATCAATTCTGGCAATTTATCGCAATATGGATTTTTGTCCTTATCGCCCAGCGCTAGTCAGGACGCCCCATGAATTCCTTTTATACTCTGTGACTTCCAGTAAAGTTCTCTGTAAATGTGTTGGAATTATGACAGGACAGTAGGTTCTTCCTCAACCACATAGGCCTATATTACTCGGACTATTGCTCATTATCTCCCATGGAAACCAAATCTGTATCCATTCCACCCTAAACTAACGTTACTTCGCCTAATTGATTGGATGTGCGTGACTGCCTGTTGTCATGAGTCCAAAAGCTGCAGAAAAACATTACTGCGTCAACAACATAGACGCGACCACCACATTCTATCCACGAAAACAATTGTGTTGGCATTACAAATAAATAGGCAACACACACTAGTTAGCTAGCAACCAACTTTACTGGCTAGTCTCAGTTCCTTGGGTTGGCTAGTTAGCTAACTTGCAACAATTAACAGGTGTTTTGTCCTACTACTCGATGCGACAAATATTACAAAATATCAACACAAAGGCCCACTGTTAGCAAATAGCTAACAGAGGGAGTAAGTTAGCTAACTACTGTAGTTATAATTGCTGGAGTTGGAGAGAATTTGCCCCATTCAAGAGCGAGATAGTTAACGTTAGCTAGCTACATCTGATTGAAAATCGCAAGCCCTTACTACTAGCAGCCCTTACTACTAGCAACACCATAACGCCCAGGACCCAATTTCAAGCTTACAACGTTAACTGGTAACGTTAAGATACCTAGTTAGCTAGCTATAGCGCAATCCATCTGATCCGATTGTTGACGTTAGCAAACTGTGATAACGTTAGCTAGCTAGCTCAAACAGAACGGAGAAATTGAGTCAGTTGAATTAAGACAACAAAAAAACATATTCCGTTACAGGCGGTGCTGAATATGTAGCTACGTTAATTAGATCGCATTTTCGTGCAAACTACTTCACGGAGAGACGTAAATGTGTTATTGTAGATACCTGTTGGAGCAGTCGATCCCGAATCAACTGGAACGGCGGTCGCCATTTTGGATTGGCCGTTATCGGAACAGATATTAAACACATCTTTGGTATCCGTATCTACCAGCAAGTAGATTGTCCAGCAGCAGTCAAAATTGGCTATATCGTAAAAATGTTAGAAAATCAAAATGTGCTTTTTGGTTTTTATTTAAGGTTATGGTTAGACATAAGGTTAGCAGTGTGGTTACGGTTGTTTAAAATAAAATTTTAAGAAGATAAATTGTAGAAATATGAGGGTTTATGACTGTGTATACCCCGTGGACCGGTTCGTAGATAAAACATTCTCATTCAGGCTGCAAAGGTATACATTTCCTCCTTAAATATAGTTAATGGCGAGAAGGTGGAGAGAACAAAACAGGGAAAATATGCATACTTTCTTTATGAAACACCATTTTCCACCGCCATGCTAGAGTAGCTAATGCTAGTTCCTGATGTTGCGCTCCCAGTTCAGCCAGGAGTAAACTAACATAGTAGGCCTAAAAGACGCCTGAGCGGAGACCCCACCTCTGTTTTTCATGGAAAACGGAAGTTAGTATTTTTTAACCGTGTCCCTGAAAACCAGAAACATCCGCCAACGCTGCTAAGGGTGGTGGTATAAGACTTCTGCAACCTGATTGGCTGAACGCAATATGAAACATCTGGGACTAGCATTCCTTGCCACTAACATGGTGGTGGAAAATAGTGTTTTTTTTTTATAAAGAAAGCACATATTTTCCCCGTTTTTTCTGCCTTCTCGCCATTAAATCAAATTAAGGAGGAAATCGATGCCTTTGCAGCCTGAATGGAGGATGTTTAATGTACGAACCGGTCCACTGGGGAGACGAGTGTATATAGACGGCTTCATACCATGCCTTTTGGACGGTAAAATGAAACGACTCAATATTGCCATCTGCCGGGCTTTGGGATAGACTTCGTGGTTGTGCCAGCTAGTGACGACCCTATCTGCTCTATTAATGCAAGTTCTACTGCACTAACTTGGTGGATAAATGTCAGTCAAACAGTCACTATTACATAAAGTTAACTTCTATCAACATTTCACAGTTTATTCAAATAATAATTTGACATTTTCAATGTTGTGCAAGTGTCAAATGACTACAAATTACAATAACTGGCAGTGCTTCAAATATTTATTTCAAATGTTAGAAATAGAACAGGAGAACTGGACTAGCAGTTCTGGAGCTATATGAAAAATACAACTAACAAACCTGAAACATGAATATAAAAATAAGTGATTTGATTCGTAAAGCAGATATCAGCTCTCCAGGTGTTCTAACATTATAACACCCTCTTAATGACAGACACTGACAGTAATACTGGTATATTATGTGCACTCTGATAGCATACATTAATTGATTGTCATCTGGCCATGCTAGAAAATATGGAATAAATGGCACTTTGACTATAAATTACGTTATTTAACCACAAACCCTAGCATTATACTTACTTCTACCCACACTAACCCCTGTTTGACTAAATCATGCACTTGCTCAACAGTTCTTCAGCATTAGCCAATTATATCCTTTCTAGCATGGTCATCTAGTGATTACTGCACAAATCCCCTGACCGCCAATTCGGATTGGTCCACTGCCATCAGAGTAAAAAAAAGAAAATCAGGCGAGGGGGCATTTCCTCTTTCTGAGGTGTGGGGACTTGGTTGCCTTGGCAATGGCATTCATGAGCAGGCTGGAGAGGCATATAGGGGCGTCCTGGCAGATGGAGGAGGAAGGGAAGGACTTCTGCAAGCCAGTGGAGGAGGAGGGCTTCCTCTCAATACAGCGGCTAAACGCCAGCATCACTAGCTGGGTTCACAAAGAGAAGTTATGAAACCAACAATATCAAAAGGCATGCAACATGCTTAGAGCTACAATCTAAAAAAAAAAAAAATAGTTTATAACAAACTTAACTCTAAGATCCTGTAGACACTTGATGGCCAATCATGTTAATTTTATCCTAATGGGACAACCTGGTTAATATGAGATATGGGGTTTTCTGTGTGAACCTGTATTATTAAGCGTTGAACTCACCTCGTCCTTAACACATGCAGTTCTCTGGTCTGCTGGCAGGGGGCAGCATTGGTCCACTATGTTCTGGACAGGGAGAGCCACAGGGAATCTGAGAGAGCAGATTGTGAGATCATCTCAGTATGCGTACATCTTTGTTTTCCTCCATAATCAAATCAATCAGTCAAAAGGCTTTGTTACACAGAAATGTACAAACGTACCTGGATCAAACTAGCTGCTGTAATAAGCTACTTATGAAAGTTATTGTATACTATTGTTTTTAAACTTTTGGTAATGGTCTTTGATACAATGCAACTCTGAAACTTTAATGTCATTAACCACGTTTCCATCCACAGTTTTTATGCAAGTAAGGTCATACCGTATAAAACAAAATCACGACAGATGTGATGGAAACTGGAAGTTTTGGTAACATTTTATAAATACCGACAAATAATTTGTTCGTTTGACATGGTGGGATATTTTTGTCTGTAAAATTAATTATTTGAAAAATGGCAGTGGAAACGCCTTTATGCGCAAATATTGATATAATAACCATCATATCGAAGTTAACTTGTAGTCACGCGATGATATGGTGTGTGGTCCTTCCACTACGACTCACTAAACTATGCTGTTTATTAGGCTAAAGATTAAATAAATTATGATGAAACTTCACAGGGTGGTGAAAGTGCACGGTGATGCTTGATGCTCCTTTCCAATAAATATCGAGGGTCTTACTCTGGTGACATGATGATCGATGCTTGACTGCCGTTTGAAAAATAAAAATATTCTCGCTGTTCTCCATAATAATCTCATCATCTAGACTAGCCTACCCGCATTGTATCTGCTAGCTGTTGGCTAGAGCGCATGTGCCAAGACCAGAGTGGGCACATTTGCTATTTACAGCAACCGTTTTTGTGACAAAACTATCAGTAGTTGGAAATGGGATGGAAACACATTGAACTTTAGATTTTTATTCGGTACATGAAATCTTATGCGAAAAAATGCATTTAGTGTGCACTACAAAAATCTGCAACAAGTCAGTTAGGTGGAAACACACCACTGGTTGGAAAATGTGCATATTTTTAATCTGTCGCCAATTGGATGGAACCCTAGCTAGTCACCATTAACTACAGTGAAACGTTTCTGAAAGCTCTGGTTCTGTCACCCATAAAGATAAACAATCAGGCTGGGCAGCATAAACGTGACTGAGGAGGAAAAAGGTCAAATTAAGCACACACTCACACACAATAATCCTAAACAAACACCCTTACTTCTTCTTGATGATCTTGTATGTTTCACAGATGTGTCCGAGGGTGTGGGTCTGTGGTGTGGCAGAGGGGAGCTCTCGGTCATAGTCTGGATGAGGGGCACGGGAGGAGAAACAGGTGTACCTCTCCTCACCCTCTCCCACATCACAACAGGAGGAGTTGTGAGGCCTCCCCTTCTGCTCTTCCCCACAAAACCTGTCAAGCACCTCACGCCACTAAGAGAGAGGGGAGAGATGTAAACACTTGATTTGATCAACACTCGTAATGTACATCTAAACTTGTTCTGCACTCTGAATGCCAGGGGAGAACCTTAATGCCTGCAAAAAAAATTATAGATATGCACACAAAAAGATACCTAAAAAAAAAACATTGTATTATTTTTCACTGTATAGAGGATAGATTATACAGATGTTTTGGTTTAGCAGCCTTCTTCAGTGTAGGTATGAATGGGATCCTTATTTTTCCCACATTGACAAGTGCAGGTAGGCAGGCCATATCACACACACATCATGCTTCTTACCTTTCCCTCAGCACAGGGTAGCACATCCTTCTGTCCCTTACAGCAGTGCTTGAACCCTCTCTCCAGCCGGTTCACAGTCTTTGATTGACGGGCCAGCCAGCCATAGCCTGTACGTGGCAGGCACTTGGTGGTGTAGAGGGGGCGGTCGTTGTGTAGGCAGCAGACCAATCCGATGTTGTCGGAAGTGGGGCGTCCAGGGGGGAAGCTGATGTCAGAGTCTCTGGGAGTAGCTTGGAGGGACTTATTCCCTCTGACAGCACGCGGACCGGGCTGGGACCTGGGAGGAAAGGACACAATACATTTAGTCATTAGTTGCCATAAATAAGGTCAATTTGAACCTAACACTAACCCTAAACTAGGGCTGTTGTGGTCATGAAATTTTGTCAGCCAGTGATTGTCATGCAAATAACTGCCAGTCTCACAGTAATTTACAGTTAATTAGGCCTACAGTTGAAGTCGGAAGTTTACATACACCTTAGCCAAATACATTTCAACAGTCTTTTACAATTCCTGACATTTAATCCTAGTAAAAATTCACTGTCTTAGGTCAGTTAGGATCACCACTTTATTTTAAGAATGTGAAATGTCAGAATAATAGTAGAGATAATTATTTATTTCAGCTTTTATTTCTTTCATCACATTCCCAGTGGGTCAGAAGTTTATATATACTCAATTAGTATTTGGTAGCATTGCCTTTAAAATTGTTTAACTTGGGTCAAACGTTTCGGGTAGCCTTCCACAAGCTTCCCACAATAGGTTGGGTGAATTTTGGCCCATTCCTCCCAACAGAGCTGGTGTAACTGAGTCAGGTTTGTAGGCCTCCTTGCTCGCACACGCTTTTTCAGTTCTGCCCACACATTTTCTATAGGATTGAGGTCAGGGCTTTGTGATGGCCACTCCAATACCTTGACTTTGTTGTCCTTAAGCCATTTTGCCACAACTTTGGAAGTATGCTTGGGGTCATTGTCCATTTGGAAGACCCATTTGCGACCAAGTTTTAACTTCCTGACTGATGTCTTGAGATGTTGCTTCAATATATCCACATAATTTTCCTTCCTTATGATGCCATCTATTTTGTGAAGTGCACCAGTCCCTCCTGCAGCAAAGCACCCCCACAGCATGATGCTGCCACCCCTGTGCTTCACGGTTGGGATGGTGTTCTTCGGCTTGCAAGCCTACCCCTTTTTCCTCCAAACATAACGATGGTCATTATGGCCAAACAGTTCTATTTTTGTTTCATCAGACCAGAAGACATTTCTCCTAAAGGTACAATCTTTGTCCCCATGTGCAGTTGCAAACCGTAGTCTGGGTTTTTTATGGCAGTTTTGGAGCAGTGGCTTCTTCCTTGCTGAGCGGCCTTTCAGGTTATGTCGATATAGGACTTGTTTTACTGTGAATATAGATACTTTTGTACCTGTTTCCTCCAGCATCTTCACAAGGTCCTTTGCTGTTGTTCTGGGATTGATTTGCACTTTTCGCACCAAAGTACGTTCATCTCTAGGAGACCGAACGCATCTCCTTCCTGAGCGGTATGACAGCTGTGTGGTCCCATGGTGTTTATACTTGCGTACTATTGTTTGTACAGATGAACGTGGTACCTTCAGGCGTTTGGAAATTGCTCCCAAGGATGAACCAGACTTGTGGAGGTCTACAATTTTTTTTCTGAGGTCTTGGCTGATGTCTTTTGATTTTCCCATGATGTCAAGCAAGAGGCACTGAGTTTGAAGGTAGGCCTTGAAATACATCCACAGGTTCACATCCAATTGACTCAAATGATGTCAATTAGCCTATCAGAAGCTTCAAAAGCCATGACATCATTTTCTGGAATTTTCCAAGCTGTTTAAAGGCACAGTCAACTTAGTGTATGTAAACTTCTCACCCACTGGAATTGTGATACATTAAATTATAAGTGAAATAATCTGTCTGTAAACAATTGTTGGAAAAAATAACTTGTGTCATGCACAAAGTAGATGTCCTTACCGACTTGCCAAAACGATAGTTTGATAACAAGAAATTTGTGGAGTGGTTGAAAAACTAGTTTTAATGACTCCAACCTAAGTGTATGTAAACTTCCGACTTCAACTGTACATAAACACGTTTAGCATCTCCTGGCTTCCACGCATACCCTACAAGCCACTGATGCAGACCTTTGGAACATCTACATAAAAAAAAGTCTAATAAATCCATCACAATAAATCCATTATTTATTTTAGACAGGTTTAAAGAAACATGATATGAAGAAAATGTAGTCTATTTCAGAAGAACAGAATAGCATACTCTGAGTTGTCCTCATGTTAGGCCCTGATCTGGCTATGCCATATGGCTGTGGGCTACACTAGTTCATTTAGCAGAAAAGATTTGTATAGAATTCCGTGGCATTATTTTATAGTATGAAGAATACAATTGAACATAGCTGAATAAAATAGAAAGGATATTTTCTTCAAACGATTTCCAAGGGACTGTGCACATGCAGCTATTCTGAGTTGAGCGGTTAACTAAGAAACAGGTCCTCCTGTATGCTTAATTAGTTGTTTATGCAACTTTAGTTGTGATACAAATGTTAGGCTATATGTTTTGATGTTTAATACATTCTGCATGATTACAGGCTGCATGATGCGACTAATGATGATTTGAAAAAAGTCACATGAAAGGCATGCGCTCTGCTCTGTTTCTTGCGCAGGCTGCACACACTTCATCAGTCTCTCATTCACAATTTGACAAGCACTTGATAATATTCTCACCCATCAGACTATTCTCAATTTAATCTGGTCTTTACATATAGCCTACTAATATATGTGTGAAATTACTTTTGATTAGAATGGTCCACATAAAAAATGAATGTCATCCGTAGCCTGCACTCGAATAACGAATGGCGGTTACGTGCAGTTATGTTTTTAAAATGCATAGGCAGCGCATCCATAAGGCTAGGGGAAGCTTTTCCTAAAGTCAATTGGATTAAATTGCCCAAATTATATAGCCTACTCCTGTCTATACAGAAATATGTTAAAATCATTCAAAAAAGGCTCCTCAAGCATGATTTGGCCACAGAGGAGATTTAGCTTCTGAAAAAAAAGTTAGTTGTGGATTGTTTTAAATAGCATTGCCTACAGTCGGAAGGAAAGGCAGCGCGCAATTTGGGCAGGTTATTGTTGAGTTGCGTCTACAGTACCTGTCAAAAGTTTGGACACACCTACTCATTCAAGGGTTTCTTATTTTTACTATTTTCTACATTGTAGAATAATAGTGAAAACATAAAAACTATTAAATAACACATATGGAATCATGTAGTAACCAAAAAAGTGTTAAACAAATCAAAATATATTTTATATTTGAGATTCTTCAAATTAGCCACCCTTTGCCTTGATGACAGCTTTGCACACTCTTGGCATTCTCTCAACCAGCTTCACCTGGAATGCTTTTCCACAGTCTTGAAGGAGTTCCCACATATGCTGAGCACTTGTTGGCTGCTTTTCCTTCACTCTGCGGTCCAACTCATCCCAAACCATCTCAATTGGGTTAAGGTCAGGTGATTGTGGAGGCCAGGTCATCTGATGCAGCACTCCATCACTCTCCTTCTTGGTCAAATAGCCCTTACACAGCCTGGAGGTGTGTTGGGTCATTGTCCTGTTGAAAAACAAATGATAGTCCCACTAAGCTCAAACCAGATGGGATATCACTGCAGAATGCTGTGGTAGCCATGCTGGTTACGTGTGCCTTGAATTCTAAATAAATCACTGATAGTGTCACCAGCAAAGCACCCCCACATCATCACACCTCCTCCTCGATGCTTCATGGTGGGAACCACACATGCAGAGATAATCCGTTCACCTACTCTGCGTCTCACAAAGACACGGCGGTTGGAACCAAATTTGGACTCATTAGACCAAAGGACAGATTTCCACCGGTCTAATGTCCGTTGCTCGTGTTTCTTCTTCTTATTGGTGTCCTTTAGTAGTGGTTTCTTTGCAGCAATTCGACCATGAAGGCCTGATTCACACAGTCTCCTCTGAACAGTTGATGTTGATCTCTGTGAAGCATTTATTTGGACTGCAATTTCTGAGGCTGGTAACTCTAATTAACTTATCCTCTGCAGCAGAGGTAACTCTGGGTCTTCCATTCCTGTGGTGGTCCTCATGAGAGCCAGTTTCATCATAGTGCTTGATGGTTTTTGCGACTGCACTTGAAGAAACTTTCAAAGTTCTTGAAATTTTCCAGATTGACTGACCTTCATGTCTTACAGTAATGATGGACTGTCGTTTCTCTTTGCTTATTTGAGCTGTTCTTGCCATGATATGGACTTGGTCTTTTACCAAATAGGGCTATCTTCTGTATACCACCCCTACCTTGTCACAACACAACTGATTGGCTCAAACGCATTAAGGAAAGAAATTCCATAAATTAACTTTTAACAAGGCACACCTGTTAATTGAAATGAATTCCAGGTGACTACCTCATGAAGCTGGTTGAGAGAATTCCAAGAGTGTGCAAAGCCGTCAAGGAAAAGGGTGGCTACTTTGAGGAATCTCAAATTTAAATATATTTTGAATTGTTTAACACTTATTTTGTTACTACATGATTCCGTATGTGTTATTTCATAGTTTTGATCTCTTCACTATTATTCTACAATGTAGAAAATAGTAAAAATAAAGAAAAACCCTTGAATGAGTAGTTGTGTCTAAACTTTTGACTGGTACTGTATCTGTGAAAAGTAGAGGCCAAGCCAGGCATATCGCAATATTTCAAAATACAATTGCGGGAAAACAGTTTGGAAAGCAAATGGTTATTGCTGTAAAGAAAAGACAATGAAAGGAATAATCTGTCTTTTAGTTATCAAAATTCTAAATTTAATTGAGCGAACAACAGTATAGCCTATCTTATTGGCACCAGCCGGGAGCATCAGCAATATCCCCGGTGAGTGCGCACTGTGCATTAAAAGTTTGTTTTTGGACAATAATTTCCTCCTCCCGTTTAGATGGACATCATATTCTATTTGTGTCTCCCCTTCTTGTAGGCCTATTATATGGACAATATCGTTTCTATTTGATATTTTTGTCACGGTCAACAGAATAGGCTACCCTTTCATTTGTCCTATTAAAAAAAAGATTCTGCTAATGTCTCCAGTCATATATAAAGTGTAGTAGAACTGCATGAAATGTGTTTATAAAAAAGGTCACATTTTTCCCATTCAAAGAAAGAAGAAACGTAGGCCTATCTGATCTAGCCTAGGCATACTCTACGCTATACACGCTTAGCCATGCATTGAACAGTATTTTTTTGCAAACAATGATTGAGTTATATTATTAGCCTAAATTATGACTATCCAATCTACTCATCACATTTCCAATAGTAGGCTATCTTACATAAGAATGTAATGCTTTATTATAAAGGTACATTTTTATGGTGAAAATTATCTTCCCCAAACTTGAACATCACGCACTGCCTATGTATGCCAGTTAGGCTACAACGGTTGTAAAGCGGATCACTGTTCTTAATTAAGAATTGAGCCAGAAATATAGCAGCACAAGAAAGCTGGGATCCTCTTTTAAATAGTGGCCAGTCAAAACTCTGTTTTCACACGCAACTGCACAATGACTGGGTTTATAAGAACACACGTTTCACTACGCGCTGTAGGTGCTCTTACCGTTCCAGGGGTTCTAGGCCTGTAGGCTGTGTTTGGAGTTCTTTTACCACGTTAGTTATAATACAAACCTTATCAAAACATATAGGCCTATGGGCTAGGCTACATGACGTGTGCCTCTATGATTTGAAGTTACACAAAAAAAGGCATGCACTGTTTCTTGCCTTACTGCACATGCTGGGCATCATTAACAAGTGATAATATTGTCACCCATCAGACTATTTTAATCTTGTCTTTAGAGATACTAAATAATATATGTGTGAAATTAGTTTTGATTTAGAATGGACTATTATCATGCACCTATCGGAATAGGGAAAATACATGTCATCTATGCACTTAAATAGCGAATGGAGGACGCTTTTCCCATGGTTCATTTTCATGCCAGCCAGGTAGGCTATACTCCTGATGTAAAGCGAAGCAATGTGCTTAATATTAGGAAAGTTGAGAAATAAATATAGTAGGCCTAGCCTATAGAAAGTTGATGGGATCCTCCACTTTTTAATAGAGGCCATCAAAACTTGTTTTCTCACGCAATTGCATAGCCTATAGGAATGTTGCGCAACATGAGCTCATGGCCACTCATGAAGTGTTTGATTAGATTTTCGATTAGATTTGCGTTGATGTCAGAGTGATTAGAGGGGAAATAGAGTGCTGAGTACCAGCCCATTAGCAACAGGCAGTTAGGCTATTAATGACCATCAGCACCATCAGAGCGCAGTTTTAGAGAAGCCTAGTTACCGTGACTAAATGGTCACGTGGAATTTGACTGCAGTCATGACTCGTGACCGCCAGTGTGGCGGTAATACCGCTACCATAACAGCCCTAAACCTAAAGTAAACCTCTCTCTCTCTCCTTACTTGTGACATGTTTTGGGGTTAAAGGTGAAGCCAGGTTCAGGTATGGGGGAGGAGCCTGCCCCCTGGGTGGTCGGCAGGTAGTTGGGGTTTGGGGTTTGGCTATGGAAACAGCGCAGTCTGGCCCCGCCCTCTTTCTTGCAGCAGTGGTAGTGGCTTGTCTTCACTGAGAACTCATCAGCACAGAATGTGGACAGGGTCTGCTCCCACTGTAGGCAACATACACAAACACATAAATTCACACATGAAAAATAGAGATAAAGGAAGGCCTAAAATGGTGAAGGTACAGATTTAGCCTTCAAGGGCCTGACTCATAAAGGCCTTCCCCTCTACACAGCTACACAGATAGAAGCCAAGGCTGATCTGTTGTGTCTGTCTGAGCTTTCCTTCTCCTGAGTCTCATCTTCCCTAGGCATCCTCTGTCCTTATCACTACTGCATCTGTGCACGTAAAAGGAAGTTCTGTTGGTACACTAGGAATGAACGGACCAAAACAGAACACAACAGGACAGAATGTGACAGGATAGAATCCAACGTTGCCACAGAATCACTCACCGCCTGTGTAACGCAGCACAGCGTCACTTCCTGGACCTGCTGTGTCCCGTTCCCATGGCAACATGCGCTGTACCAGGACTCTACCCGGTTGACGGCATCACCTTGACGACGAAGGTAGCCGAAGCCGTTCTGGGGGAGGGAGTGGATAGGGTACCGGGGACGACGGCTGCTATGGAGACAGATGGCCTGAAGGTTATTAGGGGAGGGCTGGCCGGGGGGGAAGAGGACACTGGGGCGGGAATCCCCAAACGAGCGAGGCCCAGCCATTGGCCGATCTCCCGGTATAAAGTCTGTGTCCAGGTGCAGGGTGACCTCCCTCTGGGTCATGTCTAAGTCAGCTATGAACACACACACACACTTCTGTTACTGTACCTCCTCACACAGGATACAACACACACATGCCATACTCCATTGGCTGTGTGATATTAAGTATACCAGCAGGGACGGCATCACCACCCACCTCTCTCCATGAGGACTTTGAGCAGGTGAGGCGTCAGATGGACCTCTCTCTGCAGAATGCCAGGAAACTCTACACAGTGACAGACAGGGGTTAGCACTGACAGCCATACACTGATAACATGTCATGTGCCTACACTGTATTAATTACATGGCAGAATGGTATGGCACACATGGACATAGGAGAGGATGTGTCCCAAATACTTTGGAATACTTTCCTGCTCTCCTCTCCTTTCTTTCATTAACACTGATAGATCCGTGAATGGGCTGGATAGAACAAAACACACTCACCTATGAGTTACAGTTAGAACACACTCACCTATGGGTTAGAGTTTGAACACACTCACCTATGGGTTACAGTTTGAACACACTCACCTATGGGTTACAGTTTGAACACACTCACCTATGGGTTACAGTTTGAACAAACTCACCTATGGGTTACAGTTAGTTATGGTTAAAACACACTCACCTATGGGTTACAGGTATTTATGGTTAAAACACACTCACCTATGGGTTACAGGTATTTATGGTTAAAACACACTCACCTATGGGTTACAGTTAGAACACACACCTATGGGTTACAGTTTGAACAAACTCACCTATGGGTTACAGTTAGTTATGGTTAAAACACACTCACCTATGGGTTACAGTTAGTTATGGTCAGAACACACTCACCTATGGGTTACAGTTAGAACACACACCTATGGATTACAGTTAGAACACACTCACCTATGGGTTACAGTTAGTAATGGTTAGAACACACACCTATGGATTACAGTTAGAACACACTCACCTATGGGTTTCAGTTAGTCATGGTTAGAACAATACACACTCAGCTATGGGTTAGTTAGTTATGGTTATAATACAATCACCTTTGGGTTCCTGGGGTCCCCCAAACTCCACCTCCCTCTGGGTCATATCAGTCTCCAGCTGACTCGCCCCTGGAAGACAGATATACACACAGCACTTTGACCGCATTGAAACACACACAAACACAAACACACGTATATATACAGTACATGTCACACTAACCTTGCAGGAGCTCCTCTAGGTCAAAGGTGGCCTCTCTCTGTAACATGTCAGGCTTATCTGTGGAAGGGATGAGAGAATGTAAACAGACATAAAAACAGAGATAGGCGCACACACACACTGGTTACATAAGCCATCAAACTCTGACCATGTGATGTCAGTACTGTTGTCTACCACCTAGATTTTTGGAAATCATGAAATCAGAACACATAAAGGTAATATGTAACTTTTTGGGTGACCCAATTCACATAGAAATGTGACTTATAGATCTGTTATTCTCATTGAAAGCAAGTCTAAGAAGCGGAAGATCTGTTGTATGTGCGCTATTTCTATGATTCCTATTTCTTAAGTTACATTTTTGCTTCTGGTTTTGTATACCAGCTTCAAACAGCTGAAAATACAAATATTTTTGGTTATTGAAAAGGTATTTCATAGCGGTTTCGATGGTCCAATGATTATCTACAGTACACTATACATACATTGCTTGTTTTGTCACAAACTGAAATTAGGCTATTAGAATTTTAGCAACCAGGAAATTGCCGAACGACTTCTGCATATTGCACCTTTAATTAACATGGTGTGAATTCCCTAGTCTTGATGTTTGTTCCGCCTAGAATAATAGTTATACTGTTAGTAGACTTGGACAAAGTTGTTCCACACTAAACTGGATTAATGGAATGTATCACGTCAAACAAATAATGTTTTTCTTCACTTCTAACAGAACATGCACGAACAGAAGGGGAGCCATAAACACATACCAGGACATAAAACAAGGATAGCAAGAACAGATGATTACATGCAAATCAACAACCTTGTAGGCTACAAACCTTCAGATGCCGCGGACGCGCACCCCAGCACTAATACACACGAGCAGGCTAGAACCCAAGACCAACCCATTTCGAGTACTGACACGGAAGGTGTCCGATATCCTTGTCCTCTTTCACAGGACAGTTTCCTCAAACTCTCTTTCCCTGTGTTTCGCAAAGTCGTTCCAAAGCCACGTCAAGTTCAGGAAACGACTGGACAAACGACAGCTGGAGCGTCAAATCAAGGTCCTTCCTTTTCAAACCGTTAAGTCCTTTTGGTGTGGTATGAAACAGAGAATGAGTGTGTGAGAGCCGTGAGAGGGCATAAATACATGTATGTTTTTTTGTGATTGGAGGGAAAAAAGGGAGGGACGTTTTCTGCCATGAGTCAGCAGTGGCGTGTATTCATGGTTGGTGTTAGAAATTGCGTAATTCAAATCTGGTATTGAAATAAGAATCAAGAGATCTTCAATCCAAGCTAAATTTATTATATGCAAAATGTATGTATGATAAGTATGTTGGTTCGTATAAGGGCTCACTGAAAAACCTCGCAGGGCAGACAGAGAACTAAATCCATTGTTTCAGATTGTTCTTCAAATACTCTTACAGAGAGAGTTTCCCACCTCTCTGCTGGCCAATCAGAGTAGAGACTTGAGCGTGGTTTAGACTTACTCAGCCAATCCGTTGGTGCACTGGCTGTTCCCCGCCTCTTCTGTTACCAGGCATACATTTATCATAACAACCTGTCATAGTGAGAAGAGCTAGCTCCCCTAGACACCATTCCTACGTCCAAGGATGGTTCACAGATCACAAAGAACCAGTATAGTCTAGCATTTGGAGACACAAATCCTTATCTCATTTTACCCCCTAAAACAGCTCTTCACATCAACCACAGCTTGCCAGGTGACACAACCTACATTAGCCCAGTCAAGAATGCATTCTTTCTAAGTTAGTCATCCCATCAATTATAAAAATAATAAATCTCTCACAATCCCCCTTTTCACACCCCCTAGGGTGTGATTCAAAAAATAAGAAAACACAGGGTGTCATTCATTATAATACAATACAAACAAAAAGAATCACACTTTTATTAATAGGCCATAATGATACTAAAAAATAAAAACCCTCAGTCCATCTACACCCAACTTGCAAATTGTTACCAGTCATCAAAGAACTTCAAACCATCACATAAGGAAAGACAAACATTCACATGGTTAACTTGATTAATAAAGCATAAAACACAGGATTAATAGAACACAAAACATAAGATTATTAAAACATAAAACACAAACAGAGAAGTACATTTTGGCCCCCTTTAGACACCCTCTAGTGTCACTCCACCAAGCCTGGTAGGTCATATCCTCCATTCCTTGGTTGGAGTCCAGGATTGGGCCGTATCTCACCATCTGTTGGGAAACCACCTTCCCCATCTCCTTTCTCACCAAACCTCAGACACAGGAAATAAGACAACATCCACAAAGAACAGGTATACCCATAGAAGCTATAACTTCACCCAGAATAGTTACAACAATAGTTTTCCATTTACCAAATATGTTATCAAACCAACCGTTTATGGAGCTATCAATACCAGATTTCTCAGCCAGTTCGTTCGTCAGCGTAGTTACTCCCCTGAAGCTCTTTTGTCACGGACCCGTCCGGTGCTATATTGTTTGAGGATGAAAATACAGCACATATATCCAAACAGAACACAAACTCCGCCCCGCTCAGCCAAAAGCATATCTAAAGCTATTCTATTCTGCCATGTCATTAAGCTAGTTGCCGCTGTCTGCTCAGCTAATCCCTTTATTGCATCAAGAGTGTGGTTTATAAATCTTTGCTGGTTATAGTAAATATAATTCATCCAATCTACGTTTTTATTAATTGTTGACCACCAAAAAAGACTTGATTCAAACTCAGCTGCGATCTGATTCCTAGCTTTGAATTGTTCTGGAACCCCTCGAGATACTCCTATCCCATCAATATATCTATCCTTTCATCAAAGGATCCTGGGAGGAGGTCCTACTTTGTATGTGACAACTCACCAGTCTCTGACACGTTTGATTGTTTACATATGTAGGTGAGTTCACAATCAGTTATCACCACACAACCATCAGATGTCAGCACGGGCCTGGTTTTGGCTCCTAAAATCCTCTGGCTGCAACAAAGAGGAGAGATTAGTCATGTTCTCTTTTAGTTGTGATATTCTCTGTGTGGGAGCAGGAGCTAAGATGCCCTACTCTGTATCCTATCTTACTAGTCCTAGAAAAACAATTAGAACCCCCTGAGACTTCAAACGTAGGCAACCTAGGTCGGAATGACTTTGTTATCGGGGGATACAGATAGTTCAAGTTACTACAAGACTCTTTCACCACATTCCCAGGTGGCTTGCATGGAGGATAAACCTGTTTTTGCGTACTTCAGACTTTCAGACAGTACCTACCCTTCTATGGGTCGCACTGCCATTTCTGGTAATTCCCTACTTTCACAATACTACACCTGTCCCTAAACTGTGTATGGAGATTAACATATCCCCCCGCTCGGTATGAGCAACTACATAGTCCCAGGATGTACAGTGGGGAAAAAAAAGTATTTAGTCAGCCACCAATTGTGCAAGTTCTCCCACTTAAAAAGATGAGAGAGGCCTGTAATTTTCATCATAGGTACACGTCAACTATGAAAGACAAATTGAGAAAAAAAATCCAGAAAATCACATTGTAGGATTTTTTATGAATTTATTTGCAAATTATGGTGGAAAATAAGTATTTGGTCAATAACCAAAGTTTCTCAATACTTTGTTATATACCCTTTGTTGGCAATGACACAGGTCAAATGTTTTCTGTAAGTCTTCACAAGGTTTTCACACACTGTTGCTGGTATTTTGGCCCATTCCTCCATGCATATCTCCTCTAGAGCAGTGATGTTTTGGGGCTGTCGCTGGGTAACATGGACTTTCAACTCTCTCCAAAGATTTTCTATGGGGTTGAGATCTGGAGACTGGCTAGGCCACTCCAGGACCTTGAAATGCTTCTTACGAAGCCACTCCTTCGTTGCCCGGGCGGTGTGTTTGGGATCATTGTCATGCTGAAAGACCCAGCCACGTTTCATCTTCAATGCCCTTGCTGATGGAAGGAGGTTTTCACTCAAAATCTCACAATACATGGCCCCATTCATTCTTTCCTTTACATGGATCAGTCGTCCTGGTCCCTTTGCAGAAAAACAGCCCCAAAGCATGAAGTTTCCACCCCCATGCTTCACAGTAGGTATGGTGTTCTTTGGATGCAACTCAGCATTCTTTGTCCTCCAAACACGATGAGTTGAGTTTTTACCAAAAAGTTATATTTTGGTTTCATCTGACCATATGACATTCTCCCAATCCTCTTCTGGATCATCCAAATGCACTCTAGCAAACTTCAGACGGGCCTGGACATGTACTGGCTTAAGCAGGGGGACACGTCTGGCAATGCAGGATTTGAGTCCCTGGCGGCGTAGTGTGTTACTGATGGTAGGCTTTGTTACTTTGGTCCCAGCTCTCTGCAGGTCATTCACGAGGTCCCCCCGTGTGGTTCTGGGATTTTTGCTCACCGTTCTTGTGATCATTTTGACCCCACGGGGTGAGATCTTGCGTGGAGCCCCAGATCGAGGGAGATTATCAGTGGTCTTGTATGTCTTCCATTTCCTAATAATTGCTCCCACAGTTGATTTCTTCAAACCAAGCTGCTTACCTATTGCAGATTCAGTCTTCCCAGCCTGGTGCAGGTCTACAATTTTGTTTCTGGTGTCCCTTGACAGCTCTTTGGTCTTGACCATAGTGGAGTTTGGAGTGTGACTGTTTGAGGTTGAGGACAGGTGTCTTTTATACTGATAACAAGTTCAAACAGGTGCCATTAATACAGGTAACGAGTGGAGGACAGAGGAGCCTCTTAAAGAAGAAGTTACAGGTCTGTGAGAGCCAGAAATCTTGCTTGTTTGTAGGTGACCAAATACTTATTTTCCACCATAATTTGCAAATAAATTCATAAAAAATCCTACAATGTGATTTTCTGGATTTGTTTTTCTCAATTTGTCTGTCATAGTTGACGTGTACCTATGATGAAAATGACAGGCCCCTCTCATCTTTTTAAGTGGGAGAACTTGCACAATTGGTGGCTGACTAAATACTTTTTTTCCTCACTGTACATGGTGACATACATATGGTGATGTCCTTCCCTAAAGTCCCTAGTACTTCCCCTTTCCCTACGTCTAGCTGTCTCCTATGCCTTCGTAGACTGTGCTCAGGTATTATTTTATCAACTTGTGTTAGGTTAACTACTACTTCTGGCTGATCAGGAGGGTCTGAGTGTGTTAGGAATATGGCCCCCACAATCAGACAGCTACCTACCGTCAGGAGACCTGTGAATCCCCACCCTCGCCCTGAGAACATGTCAGACGCCAACCCATTGCTTCACCTTCTACCGAATTCACACAGGGATGATCAGACAGGGTAAGGGAATCTTCGTTAAGGAGCCAACCCCCGAGCCCTAATGGTGATCGGTTCTTTCTCCTAACTCTGTGTTTGTTCATACATTTACATTTTTACATTTTAGTCATTTAGCAGACGCTCTTAACCAGAGCGACTTACAGGAGCAATTAGGGTTAAGTGCCTTGCTCAAGGGCACATTAACGTCATTTAGCAGACGCTCTTAGCCAGAGCGACTCACAAATTGGTGCGTTCACCCTATAGCCAGTGGGATAACCACTTTACAATTTGGGGGGGGGGGGGGGGGGGTTAGAAGGAATACTTTAGCCTATCCCAGGTATTCCTTAAAGAGGTGGGGTTTCAAATGTCTCCGGAAGGTGGTGAGTGACTCCGCTGTCCTGGCGTCGTGAGGGAGCTTGTTCCACCATTGGGGTGCCAGAGCCGCGAACAGTTTTGACTGGGCTGAGCGGGAGCTGTGCTTCCGCAGAGGAAGGGGAGCCAGCAGGCCAGAGGTGGATGAACGCAATGTCCTCGTTTGGGTGTAGGGACTGATCAGAGCCTGAAGGTACAGGGGTGCCGTTCCCCTCACTGCTCCAAAGGCAAGCACCATGGTCAGGTGTAACTGGGTTTACCTTTTTGCAGTGTGTGACATGCACCCAGGTGGATCTAATAGGACTTGGTAGGGCCCTTCCCAACAGGCCTGCTTCCAGTTTTTCTTCTTTTAGGGACTGGATCCACACCCAGTCTCCTGGTGAGATAGAGTGGGTCACCTTCTCCTTTAGTTCACCTGTGGGGCACAAAACCTCTGACATACGGGTGTGGTTAATAAACTATCTTCACACATACATGTTGAGCTCTCAATTTCTATATATATTTTTTTTAAGTATTTTGTCCTCTCCTTCATATATATTTATTATTTAATCCTATCACTCCCCCTTTTTGACACATGATTTGCCCAT